AGCTGTCCCAGGACACGGGTGCAATCGGAGGAACGACTGAAGAAGACGCGCCCGGCACGGTCAGCACATCAGCCGCGACTTCAGCCGGAAAGCCGAGGTGACCAGCCCACTCCAGAGGCGAGTCAGAAAAGGAGTCCCAACGAGGAAGGGCGGGTGTATGGACACCAGAGCTGTGGAGGTGGCGCTCCATGTCCGACGCTTTGGACCAAAGTACCGACACGTCTGTTAGTGGGAAAGAGGAGACGCGGATATGTGTAGTGGAGGGCGTGAGAGAATCGAGTAAGCAGCGCCTGAGACGACGCAGCTCGAGGAGGCAGGCGTGCCAAGCTGCGGAGGCACGGCCTGCTTGGTGATTGCCCACAGGGAGGGCAGGGGGGAGGCACTCGAGCAAAGACGTGGCTAGCACGTCGAACGCGGAAGAAAGACGAGCTGAGAGGGACTGCGGAACCAGGATGCTTGGTTGCCCCAACAGACCATCCATGCCCTCGCAGGGTGGAGAGGGCAGCTGGTCCCACTCGGCTTGGATGCTGCGGAGTACCGCCTCAACATGGCGGAAGGTGGCCGTCTTAGCCGAGGAGGAAGCTGCAACGAAAGATGGCAGATCAGTCTGCAGGCGACGCACCAGCTGTCTCCAAGGAGGGGGGGCTGCGGGGGTTTCAGGCACCTCGGGGAGAGAGATATCAAGATCAACCACGACCGGCTCATGGTCAACACGCCTATCCCAGTGCCACAGCACAGAAGAGTTGAGCACAGAAGTGAGGGAGTCGGGGGAAGGTAACCACCACAAGGCGTCAAGGCGACTGGCAGCGCCAGAGGAGGAGAAGAAGGTAAAGGCACGCAGGGTAGGGTGGCGAGCACGAAAGCAGTCCACGAGACCGTGTGCCAGGAGGTGCGCAGCTACGCACTCGGGTCGAAAGGTGTAGGAACCTTCCCAGCAGTCGAGGTCACGGGAGCAGAAAGAGTTCAGGTCGCCTCCCACAAGAAGAAGCTGATTACGAGCCTGCGCATGTTGAATGTGTGTGTCAATGAAGTGCTTGGTGGCGGATTCTTCAGCGAGGAGGGCAGCGTTGGCTGAGAAGGAAGGCAGGCAGGCCCCAACAGGGCAGTAGAGGCCAACAACACGAACGCACAGGCCGTGGGAGGAGACAAGGGTGCCAGCTAACGCCCGGCCGTGCTGGTCACGTGCAACCTCCGACCACTGACCAGCATAACCCGACCGAACCGCAAGGACCACCCCCCTTCCCGAATGGGAGTGCGTGGCAGAGTCGTGGCCGTGGCTAACGGCGTGAAAGCCGGCAGCGGACAGCCCGCGACAAGCTAGAGAGTGCTGGGCTTCTGTGGAGAGAGCCGTTTCAGAAAGGATGCCCACGTCAGTGCCCAGGGCGGATAGGCCCTGCCCCTGCCAGAGTCCCCACTGGAAACGGTCACGGCCGTTGCTACCGCACTGGATGCATGCAAAACGGGTGACCTTAGAGCCCTTCCAGCTGACGTCGTCCCCGATACAGCGGGCAGACAAGTCAGGCAAGGGGACATGGACGCCAACCACAGTGTTGGCGCGGTCCGCAGGGACTGGAGGAAGCGCTTCCTCACCGGAGCAGGAGGAATCAGAGTCGCCGAAGTCGTCAAGGAAATCCATGGGTGAGGCGCGCAAGGAGAACGAAAGAGAATGGAAAAAAAAGAAACCAAAAAATAAAAGGAACAACCAGAACCCAGCAACGCGACCAACAACCACAACAAACTGCGCAAAGTGAAGGCGGCCTACACACTTGAGCCAGAAGGGCGGCGCAACGGAAGTGGGCGAGAAGGCAGCGAAGAAGAAGGAGAAGGAGGGGAGAGGGGAGGGAGGGATGCAGTACGGGGTGGGAGGGGAGAGAGGGAGGGGAGAGAGGGAGGGGAGGGAGGGGAGGGAGGGGAGGGAGGGGAGGGGGAGGAGAGAGAGGGGAGGGAGGGGAGGGAGGGGGGGGGGGGAGAGAGGGAGGGGAGAGAGGAAGAGAGGGAAGAGAGGATGGGACAGGCGCCACCAATCTACTGACAACCCACACAAAGGAGCAGCGCGAAGCTTTTTTGCAATGACTGTCGGTTGGCAGAAGCAGAATTGTGGCAACCCGCGGCGCGGGAAGTGGTGGAGAGAAGAAAAACCAGGGCACCCTCAAGCGTGGTCTGTGCTGGAAGTGCTGCACTCAAGGGGCCACCTGGATGTTGCACTCGGGACAGCGTCCGCGCGAGTCGGGAGTAGAGAACCAACGACCCAAACAGTCATCGTGAAAGGAGTGCGTACACTTCAAGCGCATGAGGGATTCCCCAGCCAGAAAGGTCTGAAGGCAGCAAACGCACTGTCGGGCCTCGTCAGAGGCCGTGGCTGTGAAGGCGAGGGCAGAGGTGCATTGCCAACCAGGGCGTCCCGAGGCATGGTCCGGCATATCAGCTTCTGTCGAACCTGGGCGGCGGCGGTAGACTGTCACAGGGGGTGGAGCAGGCCGCCGGGCGGAAGCTGGTCGTTCCGAAGTGGCGCCTGGCGTGTCCTGAACAGGTACCGGGCCTCCAGGCTTGGCGGCCGCAGTGACTTTGAGAACCCCGACAGCAGTAGGGAGCACAACGCGGCCTTTACGGTCCAGGCGGGCTGCCGCCCTCAGCTCCGTGAGGATGCGCTCGGCTGTCTGCGGGTTGGCAAATGAGAGATGCGAGAGGAAGAACGAGGGCGACGAGCGCAGGCGCCTCGTAACAGGAGTCAGCTGCAAACCAGGGTCAAGACCTGCCAGAGTGGGCGACATGTCGGACACAGTAGCAAACACTGCCGCCAGTTGCGGCGCCGACGGGCTATAGGGCAGGCCCATGATATAGAGGCCAGCAGGGAGGGCCATGTTTGGGGCCAGCACGAGCGGCGTGGTCCGCTCAGACGAGGCACCGCCGGCTAGGCGGGCAGCTGTGACAGGCTGCGAAGTAGGTGTTGAACGGAGGGCCGAGCCTCTAGCAGGGCGAGCAGTGCTGGAGAGGCGCTCTGGCTGGCCGCTTGCAGGGCCAAGCAGTGGCCGCGGCGACGACCTGCGTGGGAGGGGATGGGGCTTAGGGGAAGAGCGGGGCGGAGAACGCGAGCGTGTGCAGCCAGAGTGGAGCGACCCGACAGGAGAACGGGCCGTCCGGTTGGCAGCAGCGTGGCTGGGAGAGTTAGGGGCAAGCGGGGGGCTTAGGGAATTAGGGACAGAAGATGCAGGAGCCCAGATCGGGCGTGACGCCAAAGTGGGTGGGAGGGCTCGTGACTTAGGGGAAGTGCTGGGTGGAGAGTGGCACCGAGCGCGGCCAGCGCGCAGTGCGACGGCAGGCCGGCGGGTAGGCCGACACGCAGCAGGGCGAGGGGGTATGAAGGTTGGAGTGCCGGTCGCAGGTGAGCCCTCCGGCGGGGGTGGCGTCTGGCAGGCCACAGAGGTGCTGATGGGCTGGGGTGCAGGCTGGCGGACCGCCGGGAGCAGGTTGTCCAGGGAGCGTTCAGCAAGAAGCAGACCCAGTCGCATCGCACGGTCAGCGTTGTCGCGAAGCTGGGAATCCATGGCAGCGGGCCTTTTACAGGGGTGCTGAGCCAGAACTGCGGGGACAAAAACCACCAAAGCCGAGAGGAGAACAGCGCAGAACAACTGCAGACCAGGGCCAGAGGCCGGGGCGCTCAGAGAAGAGGGAAGAAAGAACCAAAAAGAAAAAAAAGAAACAAAAGGACACCCACACGCACACAGCCAAGCGACCACGCAACCACGCAACCACGCAACCACGCAAACACACAAAAAAACACAACCAACCAACCACCCAACTACCCAACCACACAACCACACAACCACACAAACGCCCACCGAAGCGACGGGGAAGGCGAGGCGAGGCGGGGGAGAGGAGGATGCGAGCGCGCAGATACGGGAGGACGGGATGAGGCAGCGACAACCCCCCCCGCGAAGCGCAAGGCAGGGGGGGTTGTAAATGGGGCCAAGCCGGCAGGGGGACTGCCCCAATACAGAGCTATCCAGGCAAAAAAAAAAAAAAAAATTGCCCTCGTGGGAACACGGCCAGGTGCGACGGCACTGGCCAGACTTAGAGGGGCTGGGGGGGTTGCGATTGGGGCCAAGCCAACCCGGAAGGGTCAGCAAGAGGGGTATCCAGCCCCCTCCCAGAATAGGGGAGAGCAGAAGGGCGAGACACCGCCCGGTGCGCCGGCAATGGCCAGACTCAGGCCAGCCCGCAAGGGCCTACCGAAGCGAAGGAAAGAAGAAGGCGAAACGGGGAAGAGAAAGGAAGCGATCGCGCAGGGTCGGGAGGTGCAGGGACGGAAAGAGACCGTTTACAACCCCCCCCGCGGGTGGCTAGGCAGGGGGGGTTGTGATTGGGGCCAAGCCAACCCGGAAGGGCCAGCAGGAGGCATATCCCCAAATTATTTTTTTTTTAAAAAAAAAAAAAGGAGGACTCCAGGCAACGGGAGACGGGCACAACGGGGAGGAACCACGAGGCGAGCGCAAGAGCGGCGGGGACCCGCGCGCGCGCGCGCGCGCGCGCGCCGCACCAAAGCACGCACGCAATCAGCACGCACCCCCCCCCAAAAAAAAAAAAAAAAAAAAAAGGAAGCAAGCACGCACAACAAAAAAAACAGACAAGCAAAAAAACAAAAAACGAGAAAAGAAAAAAAAAAAAAAGGAGGGCCAAAAAAAAAAACGAGGAGACAAGAAAAAAAAAGAAGAAGAAGGAAAAAAAAAAAACACAAAAACAAGGCCGAAAGGCACACAGCCGGACAGACGGACAGACGGACGGACAGACACAGAGACAAAGACGGAGACACACACACACACACACACACACACACACGAAGAGAGAGAGAGAGAGAGAGAGAGAGAGAGAGAGAGAGAGAGAGAGAGAGAGAGAGAAGGAGAAAAAAAAAAAAAAAAAGGAAAAAAAAAGCGCATGTGAGTGGAAGCACAACAGAGCCTGGGCGAACTTTTGAACCGCGGGGCGAGGGCAGAGGCAATGCGTCAGCGTGACGAGTGGAGAAGGAAATGTACAAACTTACTGTATTCACAGCAAGCAAAGGCACGACCTTCGAGGGTGTCCAAGTGTAGGAGGAGCTTGCGTTTAGCTGCAGCCACGTGCGCGGGGTCACCAGCCGAAGGGCGTAGAAGGCGATTACGGGCAAGAGGAAGACCGAGCTTAACCAGCTTATCCGCATAGAGGTTGGAGTGATGCACATCCTTGGACGCCTTACCCAGGGAAGGAGGGAACCCCATAATCCAATTGAGGCCACCACGTGCACCGGGGCCAGTCTCGCAGAATTGCTTGTCCACGGACGCGGGGAAGGTGGGGTACAGGGTGCGAAACAGTTGCCAGAATGCAGACGTGGAGTAGGGGCCGAACTGCGGATAGCCACCAATGTGCGACAAGATGGCGCGTTTGGCACGCCAGCGCTTGCCAACCTTGAGTTGTGGGCGCTTAAGGCCCAATGGGATGGAATGGATGAGGGCTTGCTTTGCTTCAGCACGGGTCTTCATCCCAGTGAGGCGACCATGTAAAACACGACCCGCCCGAGTAGAACGATCCACCAGGGAAGCTGGGTGGCCCCGAAAGGAGCGTAAGAGCCGCGCCAGCTTGTCCCGCGCGGAGAGTTGGGTACCGGAGAGACCCGACGAGGAAAGTAGCTTCGCAAAAGCAGGCGAGCCCATAATGCAAAGAAGAAGAAGGTTGTCAAAACCTTCGGCCGGCGCGTCAGACAGGATCTGTTTCGAGGCCACCAACTTCCCGAGCTGACCAACCGGAAGACTTGGCCGAGGCGCCCTCAAAGCAAAGGTCCACGTTGAAGGTGGCGAGGTCAACTGGAATGGAGCCTGTGAGGTCCAGGGCGGAGCGGGCCAGGAGCAAGTGCAGCAACACATCCAACTGCCGTTTCAGCGAGCAGCGGATATGAGGGAAGAGGGCCATGGCAGCGAGTAGGCAAGGGGAGAAAGGCAGGGAGGTTACAAGCCTGAAAGACCCGAGACGGCGGCAGGAAGCGACAGGAAGTGTAGGGAACGCAACAAGCAGAACAAAACCCAAAAAAAAAACACACACCAAAAAAAAAAAGGAGAAAGGAGTGGCACTGTCACCTCCACAGCGCAGCCCCGGACTGGGGAGGGGGTGCTCATCTGGGACAGAACCCATTAGTGCCGCCCCCGGCGTCCCCCCCACCCAGAAAGTCCAGGCACTGCAGAAGCATATGGAGACCGGGGGCCCAGCCAATCATACTTCCCGGATACTTGACTTGAGTTGTGGTCGGTACGGGCGTTCCACCTAGGAACCTGAGTGTGTCTTGGGGTCTCTTGGGGTCCTGTAGTATTTCTGTTTTGGTCTGGTTTAGATTCATACCGTAAAGCTTGGCCAGCGTTTCAAGTCGCTGTAGCATGTCCGTGAGCTGCGCTGTGGTCATTGACATCAACAGCGTGTCGTCCGCATATTCTAAATCATAAGCCGGCTTGCCCACCAACCACGTCTTAGTGGGGACCCCCTTAAATAAGAGGTACCAGTCCAGGTCTTCAAAAATGACTGTCTGTACCATGATACACAAATATGCGCCTAGAGGACAGCCCTGGCGGATTCCCGAGCCCACCACCCCATGCACTTTGTCCCCCGTGTCGGAAATCGTGTAAAAAACTAGGGTCCTGACACAGCGAGGAATGATGTTCAGAGAACGTTGCGACAGCCCAAATCTGTTAAGTGCAACGGGTTAGAGGTCATTTCGGACCACTCCATTGCTCTGCGCAATTGAAAAAGCGGGTGGGTCGAGCTTGTGTCTTTTCTGAATCCATACTGAGTATCACGCAAGGGTTTAGGGTTTAGGGTTTCGGGTTTAGGGTTTAGGCTTTGGGGCTTAGATGTTCCCCCTTATACTAACAGTCCTTAATAGGTTTGGGGCTTCTTGCCTGGTGGGTTAGGGTGAAGGCTTACAGGCTTGCACCCCCCCAAACCCCGCAAAACCGCTGCCCAAAAGGCTCAAGAAGACTTGGCTTGAACCAGACACTAAACCCTAAACCCTAAACCCTGAACCCTAAACCCTAAACCCTAAACCCTAAACCCTAAACCCTAAACCCTAAACCCTAACCCTAAACCCTAAACCAGGGCCCCCGGCTGCCCACAATGCCCAGCTTCTGTCCCTTCAGGGCCAAGTGCACGAGGAGCAGCCCATCCAGCGAGGATCCTGCACACTGAGCCCTCAAGGCCCTTCAGGCCTTTAAGGGCCTTCCTTAAGGCCCTTAAAGGCCTTAAGGCCCTTAAAGGCCTTAAGGCCTTAAGGCCCTTAAAGGGCCTTCCTTAAGGCCCTTAAAGGCCTTAAGGGTCTTAAGGCCCTTGAAAAGGCCCTTAAGGGCCTTCAGGGCCTTCAGGGCCTTAAGGCCCTTGAAAAGGCCCCCAACCCAAAAGGCCCTAAAGAAGATCCCACAGGCGCACGAGAAGATGGCACAAAGTCCTGTGTAGTGCTCCTTCCGCAAGCCCCAATTCTCTTCGAAGATCTCTGGGCACAGGCCACTGCCAGGGGACCTTGACGGGTGTTGGGGATTCGGGTTCAGGGCTTAAACCCGCCCTTAACCCTAAGCCCTGAACCCTAAACCCTAAACCCTAAACCCTAAACACATGAACCCTACACCCAAAATCCCCAAAAACCCTAAAGCCAACCCTACAGCCCTGAAGACCCAAACCCTAAAACCCCAAAGCCCGAAACCCCAAAGTCCTAAACCCTACCTATACCCTGAACCCTAAACCCGAAACACAAAAGCCCTAAACCCTAAAGCCTAAGTCCCTGAACCCTAAACCGTAGACCTAAAACCCCAAACCCTAAAAAACTGAAACCCTAAAACCCTGAACCCTAAACCCTAAACCCTAAACCCTGCTTGGAGGGTCTTGGGATGATGAGGCTTAGCTGAGTTGTGCTTTCAAGCCTTTGAGGACTATTTGTGAATAGGTTCCCTTATAAGGAAAGAAGCGAGGAAACAAAAAAACTAGACCCTAAACCCTAAACCCTAAACCCTAAACCCTAAACCCTAGACCCTAACACTCAGTTAGAGTCGGTCCGAAGCACTTGCAGATCGTCTCGAGCAGCGCCCGAAAGGCAGGCGGCAGTCCTGGCAAGGAAGCGCCCCAGCAGGGTTTAGGGTTTAGGGTTTAGGGCTTAGGGCTTAGGGCTTAGGGCTTAGGGCTTAGGGTTTAAGAGTGTCTAGGGCGTGTCTAGAAGCGTTTAGAGCGTTAAGGGCCTTTAGGGTGTGTAGGGGTGTTTAGGGCGTTTGGGGCATTTAGGGTTTTAAGGGTTTAGGGTTTAGGGCATTTCGGGTATTTAGGGTTTAAGGTGCTTGGGTCCAGGGTGTTGAGGGTGTTCGGGGCATTTAGGGGACCTAGGGTCTTTAGTCTTTAGGCCTCAGAGCTTAGGTCCTTCGGGCTCTGTGGGTTTGAGCCCGGGCAGCCCAAAAACCCACACCGCTCAGGGGTGGGTTCAGGGTGCAGGGCTTAGGGTTTATGGGTTTGGCGGGGTGGGGGGGGGGGGGGGGGGGGGGGGGGGGAGGGTTAGGGTTGAAGAGTTGGGTTTAAGAGTTTTGGGGTTTAGGGTTTGGGGCTTAGGGTCTTAAGGCTTTAAGCTTTGGGATTTTCGGGTTTGAGGGTTTCAGGGTTGTAGGGTCTCGGGTCTCTGTCCGGGAAGCGCCGAGATGTTCATGGCGTGGTCGGGGAAGTAGGTCGGGTTGTTGTCCTTGGGCATCCGAAACCCTAAACCCTTAACCGTTTACCCTCAACACAAACATAAGGACTATACAAAGATGGTTGCCCGGAATCTCCCATATCAGGGGCCCTTATACCCCTACAGTAGGATCCTCGTGTTTCTCTGTTTTTTTGGGGGGCCCCTACAAACCTCAACGCCACGACAGAAGGACTCTCAAGCACAAGGCACGCCCAAGCACGGGACTTTCATCGCAGTTGGGGTATACATGTCGTGAGTTCATTAAATGATGGGCCCTTTTTCGGGCCTTCGAATAAGGACCCCCCCAAGAGGAAACCCTGTTTTAGAGAAGTGACCATGTAGCAGTGGGTTGGGGATGAGGGTTGGGGCCTTAGGGCTTAGAGAGAGCTCAAATTTTGGGGGCTGGCAACACTCAAGGCAAACCCTAAACCCTAAACCCTAAACCCTAAACCCTGAACCCTCCGAAATCACTCCGAAGGTCAGGTGAATCCACGTACGTCTGCGCAGGGACCTCTTCCGTCGTCACCTGGAAGCTGCCAGAAGCATACACTTTAGGGCTTAGGCTTTAGAGGATAGAGGGTTTAGGGTTTAGGGTTTAGGGTTTAGGGATTGGGGCCCCTGGACCCTAAGAGTCTTTAAACCCGCGAACCTCAACCCGGAGAGGCCGAGAAAGCCTGAAACCACGGCCAACATTGTGGCTGGCCGGTTACTGAAGCTGGCCAGCGCATGTCTAGCACAGAAGCTTCAGCGAGCAAAATGTTTTTTTGCCTTTCTCTGCTTGGTTGCAGACGAGGACGAGAAGATAAAGCGGCCAACAAACAGTTCAAGCTTGAGAAGGAGGCCAACGAGAAAGACTTGAGAAAAATAAGGCCGTCCGCGACAGCAAGTCAAAACCCACACCGGAAAACCCACAACTCAAGCCTAAACCCTAAACGCTTACCCCCTAAGCCCCCCCAAATAAACCCAACACCCCTGGACCCTGTAACCGTTGGAGTTCAGGGGTTAGGCGTTTAGGCGTTAGGGCTTAAACGGGTTTAGAAGCTTATGTTCGGGGCAATCAGGCTGCGCAACCACCAAACCCTGAACCTTAACCTTGAACCTTAAACCCTGACACGCGAACACAGTTGCAAAAGCCTTCTGGAGGCCCTCCCAATTTCTACCGGGGCGACATCGAAGTGCTCAAAGGCAGGGCCTTAGGGCCATTAAGGGCCTTCAGGGCTAAACCCCAAACCCTAAAACCCCAAAATGCTATGAAACCCTCAACCTGGGCTGGAGAGCCCTCTGCCAAGGGTGCCTCGTTGCGGATCCAGATCAGTAGCCCCATCAGGGCCACCGGCAGGAGCAGCTCCAACAACGCGCCCAGCCATGACCGCGACCTGGCGAAGGAACGGCGCCAGAACGGCGTTTCGGGCTTTAGGGGTTTAGGGGTTTAGGGGTGTAGGGGTTTAGGGGTGCAGGGGTTTAGGGGTTTAGGGGTTTAGGGTTTCATCGGCCACACACACACAAAAACTCTAGGCATCTTATTCGGGATTTTAGGGTTCAGGGCTTAAGGGTTGGAATTCGGGGTTTATGGATTGGGGGGGGGGGATAAAAACACCTGAAACCCCACACCTGGTGGGGCTATATCCCTGCCGTGGCAGTTCAACTGAGCAGCGCCCGAAGGCCCTTGTTTGCTTGCTTCTCATCCGGCGTTCTGCAGGCGCGCCGGGCTAGAATTAAGTTGTATGGGGGCATGCGATTTAGGAAAGTTTAGGGCGTAGGCCCCCAAGACTGTCAGCACCAGCAAGGAATCAATCGCTTCTCACTGGCAACATGCGAAACACCCTGAAGCCCAGTAGCCTCAGGCGGCGGAGTTGTTGACAAACAGAGGTGTTTAGGCGATCAGTGCAGCTCCACTCCTACTATCTTTCACCCCAACTCCAATGAACCCTAAACCCTAAACCCAAACCCTAAACCCCAAACCCTCAAAGCCTAAACCCTAAACCTTAAACCCTAAACCCTAAACCCTAAACTGAGGAGCGGTCTTTAGGGTGAAGTTCTTCTTGAGGACCGCGGCGAGGCAGCGGAAGAAGTGCATGGCTTCGTTCACGGGCCCACAATGCGAACAGATGCACCCCTTTAGGGTTTGGGGTTTGGGGTTCAGGGTTTTGACAAGGGTTTAGGGTTTAGGGTTTAGGGGCTAGGGTTTAGGGTTTAGGGTTTAGGGTTTAGGGTTCAGATACAAACCCGAAACCTCTCAAAGGGACAAAGTTTGGGTGGGCCCACGGCAGGCGACCCCTTCAACCACTCGATGGACTGCGGCACTCTTGGTGGGTGGAGCCTCAAACCCTAAACCCTGAACCCTAAACCCCAAACCCTGAGCCCTAAACCCTAAACCCTAAACCCCAAACCCTAAGCCCTAAACCCTAAACCCCCAACCCTGAACCCTAAACCCCAAACCCTAAACCCTAAACCTAAACCCTGAAGCCTGCTATGGGGACTTTGCCTTGGACCCTCGAGGTGGTACCCTTGTGATTTTGGGGGCCCTGCTTCATGATCCTTAAGGCAATATCATGGCCATATTGGGAAGATACTGAGGGAACCCTAAACCCTAAACCCTAAACCCTAAACCCTAAACCCTAAACCCCTCTTTGGGGCAACATCCTTGAGTATGACTCCCGTGAAGCCTAGCACAAAAAGCCTGAAGCCATAAAAATCAACCCCTCAGACTCCAAATCCCCACACCCTTTGAACCCCAAAGCCCAAAACAGAAGGCATCAACGGGCTTGGGGTTTAGGGTTTAGGGTTTAGGGTTTAGGGTTTAGGGTTTAGGGTTTAGGGTTTAGGGTTTAGGGTTTAGGGTTTCGGGTTTAGGGTTTAGGGTTTAGGGTTCAGGGTGTAGAAATGCTGCTTGTCCCTTGCACACCTGATGATCGAAGACAGTCGAGAAGCACAACCCAAGCGCATTGTTGAATGCTATTCCTGATCGTAGGCCCCTGCCTGTTGCGCCCGAATTCAGACTACAGGGGCGTGCAGACAATACCCTGAACCCCCGAAACCCCAGACTCTCAATCCAAACCCTGCCAACCCCCAAAGAAGATCCCCAAACCCTACACCCTAAACCCGAGACCCCACAAACTCTGAGCCCTAAACCCTAAACCATAAACCCTAAACCTTAAAATGTGAACCCGCACCCTTCGTTTTTTGCATTTCTGATCTTGCTTTCGGCGCGTGGTTGGAGGCTTGGTCTGTTCGGGGTTTAAGGTTTAGCGTTTAGTAGGGTTTAGGGTTTAGGGTTTAGGGTTCAGGGTTCAGGGTTCAGGGTTTAGGGTTTAGGGTTTAGGGTTTCGGGTTTACGGTTTAGGGTTTAGGGTTTAGGGTTTAGGGTTTAGGGGTTGCATGAGGGGCTTTCGGGGGTTTAGGGGGGTGTTGGGCTTTAAGGTTGCGGGTTGCGTGGGGCATGGGCTTCACCACTACTTGCTTCCGAGGTTTGCCAATCACTCCGGAAGAGCTGCAATCCTGGCTCCACGTTTAGGGTTTAGGGTTTAGGGTGTAGGGTTTAGGGGTTTAGGGTTCAGGGTTTAGGGTATAGGGTTTAAGGAGCCGCTGTAAAAGTAGGATCCAAGTATAGCAGGTCTTCGGGTCTGTTCGGATCCGTGCCCCTCAATATACTGGCTGAGACGCCTAACCTAAGGTTGAAGGGTGCAGGGTTTGGGTTTCGGGTTTAGGGTTTAGGGTTTAGGGTTCAAGGTGTGAGGCTGATGCCAGGGAATCGCACATCACAAGCTCGCTCACAGCGCATGCCGAATCGGTGACAGAGTGTCTTGGATGTTTTTGGGGGGAGGGTTCAGGGTTGAGGGTTTCGGGTTTAGGGTTTAGGGTTTAGGGCTTAGGGTTTAGGGTTTAGGGCTTAGGGTTTAGGGTTTAGGCTTTAGGGGAAGGACGGCCTTGAAGATCCTTGGAAGCCGCCAGGTGAGCCAGCTCCGCACCTGCTTTGAGACCTGAGAGAAAGGCTTTTTGGGATACACCGGTAGGGTTTCGGGTTTAGGGTTTAGGGTTTACGGGTTTAAGGGTTTAAGGGTTTAAGGGTTGAAGGGTTTAAGGGCTTAAGGTTTGAAGGGTTTAAGGGTTTAAGGGCTTTAAGGGCTTAAGTGTTTAAGGGTTTAAGTTTTAAGGGTTTAGGGGTTTAGGGGTTTAGGGGTTTAGGGGTTTAGGGGTCTATAGGGTTTAGGGGTTTAGGGGTGTAGGGGTTAAAGGTTCGGGGTTTGCAGATCCTCGCGCGTGCATTGTACCAAAAGGATTTGGGGGGAGTATGCGCAGCTCTCTGGCGGAGATCTTGATGATACAGGTTGAGACAACCCATGCCCTGAACCCTATATACACTCTAAACATCTCTAAACCCCAAACCCCAAACCCTAAACGTTTAGCAGCCGAACCAGACAGAATTGGGCGCAGCAGCCCTGTTTTCCTGAAGGTCCAGAAAGCGACCGGCGGTGGAGTCGCCGAAACCAGCAGGTCATCAGTGCGTGCTTACCTGGCCCAAGCCAGATAAATCCTACGTGGACCACAAAGGGACGGGCATGGCGTGCGGGTTGCACGCAAAACTCTCTGATTCAGCTATTCAAGCAGCATCGTGGCATTAGCAACCAAGCTCTCACGTTTGTGAAGTTGTTGCTTGCGAGTTGCAGAACTTTGCTACAGCGGCGAGATTTTCTCGGACGTCTCCATGGTAGCGTCTGGGATGACCTCACAACCGAGACTCTGAACCCCCGCGCAGCCGCTGGCGCCGGCGGTGCTGGTGCAGGCGCCGGCGCAGGCGCTGGGGTCCTCAGCCGGGGCCTTCACCCTGCCGCGGGACGTGCCGGCTTGGGGCAACTCCTCGAGGCGCTGGGCCCAGTTCGACAACTCCCTGACCACCTCAGGCTCCGGCTCTGCAACGGGCTCGGCAGGCTCCGCCCAAACTTCTTCGGCCTCGGGCTTCTCGGACTTCTCCCCGGCGCCCTCGTTCTCCTGCGGAAGGCTCTTCTTCTCCTCCTTCCTCCTCTTGAGGCCGCTCTTGGCTTCCTTCTTCTTCCTGCAGAGACTGAGGATGCCCGAGACGATCTCCACAATGGCCTCGCCGACAATCAGGCCCAGCGCCAGGGAGATGGAGGTGACCATGAGGCCAGCAAAGGTGTTGTCATCCGTGGCGTTTGGACCACTGGGGGGGATGATGGTGTTGAACCACATGCGGGCGATCATCGAGCCAGGCACCAGCTGGTAAACTGCTGGCATGAGCATCGCCCAAATGTTCATGGATTCGGCATACACGATCGTGTCCAGCAACAGGTCTTCCTCGTGCCTCTCCAGCCTGATCTCCTTGCGGTCATGATCCGGATCCCTGAGCTCCTTCGACTGCTGGTAAAGCTTCTTTTCGAGCTTGACCATGTGCTTGTCGGCCTCCCTGCCTATCCCGATGCAGTTGAAGAACTTGACGACCCCGGAGATGCAGCCATACAAGACGTCGTCCAGCACGGAGTCCGTCTCGTCTCGGTGTGCCCCACGCTGAAGAAGCTGGGCGTAGTAGATCGAGTTGATGAAATCCATCATGGCCGACAGGAAGCACGCCGTCACGACACTGGCTGCAGCGCCACAAACGTTGGAGGCCATGACATCGAGGTTACTCTTGGCGTCCCCGGACGTAACCATGGACCTGGACACTTGAAACTGAACCTCGTAGCCCGCGAGCTGGACGAGCAGGCCACGCCACATCTGCTCCACGCGGAAGCGGTACTGGCCCAGGACGGACAGCGAGCAGGCCAAGTACAAGGGAACGCGCCACCAGTACAGGCCGAGGTCAAGGGTGCCGCAGTTCGCAGCCTGCGCACCCCACATCTCGGCGACCTCGGTAGGGTCTGGTACAGCAAGGAGCATCCCGAAGCAGCACATGACGCAGAGGACGAAGGTCTTGATGCTGACGGCCATGAAACGGGTCACGCCCGTCTCGAGCTCCCCGGCCAAGATCTCCACCAGCCCCACCACGAAGGCAGTACCATAGAAGAACCAGTACAAGGTCCCCATGAAGATGGAGACGAGGCAGTACTTCTGGCCGTCATACTTGTAGAAGAGGGTTCCGATGACGCCGGTGATGAGACCCACCGCCAGGTCGATCAACATTGTGGCCTCGCCCCCGACCCTCTGCAGGGCGTACTCGATGAGGCCAGTCACCAGACCGCAGATAGCGGCCACTCCCGCCTCATACTCGGTACCTCCGAAGAAGATCACCGCGCACGTGGACGACATGGCGGGCAGGACGATCAGCCTGCCCGGGTAGTCACGGATGAACAACCCAGTCCTGGCCGTGTGCTTCCCTTGCTTTGCCTCCTGCTGGAAGAGGAGAGCTTCATGGACAGTCATGTGCCCATTGTAAAGCGCCGCAGCGATCCTCATGAACATGTCCTGGTACTCTGAGTCGTAGTCGTACGGGCATTTCCGCTGCAGCTCGAAATCGCCGTCCTCCATGAAGAACTTCAACTTGATAACGCCAAGCTCCCAGGTCATTGTGAGCCCAACCATTTCCGAACACTTCTTCAGGGTCTTGGTCGTCAACAGGGTCATGTTCCACGCGCGATGCATCTCCATGGCAGTCTGCATGTTGAAGACAAACAAGAGCGCATACTCCTCATCGAACCTCTCCTTGAGAGATGTGTACACCCGGTGCATGTCGGCCGGGAGACCGCTGGGGTCGAAGCGGCGCGCGGCAAAGGAAACGGTCTTCCGGAGGCCATCGTGCTCCTCGAGGGCGTTAGGCTCTAAACCCCCCCCCCCCAAAAAAAAAGAAAAAAAAGTACCAACCGAAGCAATGCTGAAAAATAAGGGTTTAGGGTTTAGGGTTCTTGAGGATCCCCACAAGGAGTTGATCTTTCTTGGGGGGAGGGGGGGGGGGGAAGGGGGGGGGGAGGCGGGGGAGGCCCCACTCGGAGCCGCGACAGGGTTTAGGGTTTAGGGTTTAGGGTTTAGGGTTTAGGGTTTAGGGTTTAGGGTTTAGGGTTTAGGGTTTAGGGTTAGGGTTTAGGGTTTAGGGTTTTGGCTAGGGGTTTAGGGTTTAGGGTCCAGGGCTTAGGGTTTAGGGTTTAGGGTTTAGGGCCAAAACCAAACCTGCCAGCCCGACCGTTTTTTCGTCACAGCTTGAGCAGACATCCTGATGATTCCTGAAGACCAGGAGCCACTATAAGCACTTGGAAGAGGTCTAGGGTTTAGGGTTTAGGGTTTAGGGTTTAGGGTATTGGGTTTAGGGTTGAGGCTGTCACGGCATCCGAAAAATGGTTCGGCAATGGCTTCCTTCGTGCTGAAGTCTCGGCGGGGCTGAATCATGGATTCAGTTCTCTTGCACATGATTGGGAACAAACACGAAAAAATTCTCAAATTTCTGGAAGCAATTCCGGCATTTCGCAGAAACCTTGCAAGGCAGGAAATCTGCTTGGGAGACCAAGGGAGACTAATGGGAGACAGTCCCAGGCGGGCGTCACCGCATCCAGGGTCGAGACGACGGTGAAACGCTTTCTTTCAGCAAATTAAGACCCTGCTGAAGCTTCTTTGTTTGGGTCGAAAGGGAAACAAATACTTAAAAGCAACAAGTGGGAGAGAACAGTCCCAGACGAGCTTCACAGGAATCCAGCGTCGAGACAAAAGGAGACAAGCTTTGGAGCACTGCCCTGAGAAATCCAGATGAACGTTAGGCGACAGATGGGAGACATGTTTTCCAGACTAGTGCGGTGAGAAATCCAAATGTGCGTCACAGCAACCCTTTGCTTTAAGCCAAGTAAGAACTCGAGCAGAAGCTGTTTGGGGAACAATCTGTCCACGACGTTGAGAAGTGCTGAAACGGGAGTTCCACTGCCACGCGATGCCACAGCAACGAACTTCGACATAAGACATCACAATGGAATAAAGAAACCACATGATGAATCAAAAGCAAGGACCTGTACAAAACATGTCTTCTTTCACTTCTTTCTTGTGGCACCACACCCCCCATGTGCTAGCTGGGCGTTGGCACACTCCTCACCTCTTGGCCTACTGCCCTGCACGCTTTTTTTACCCGAAACCCTGTCCTCCAGGTGACTTTGGCTGCACACTCGCTTTATTGGCGTCTTCGGTGCATCCGCGGCCATGGCTCATGGATCGAGACAGCCTTTAACCACTGCCTGCCTTAAAAACGGAACGGCCATGCAGCTCCAAGGGCCGATACACATCCACAGGGGCACACCGAACTCTCTCTGAATGGCTCACCCCTAAACCCTAAACCCTAAACCCTAAACCCCTCAACCCTAAGGCCGCCCAAAAGGTCCACCAAAAACTCACCTAAGACCCGAAACCACTGAAGCATCAAGCCCTCAACACCCCTGGCAAGATTTCAACGGACCTTCCAGAAGAAGCGCTAAAAGGTTTAGGGCTTTATAAATTTATAAACCCTAAACCCTAACCCTAAACCCTAAACCCTAAACCCTAAGCCCTAAACCCCTAAGCCCTAAACCCTAAACCCTAAGCCCTAAACCCTAAACCCTAAACCCTAAACCCTAAACCCTAAACCCTAAACCCTAAACCCTAAACCCTGACTGAGAAAGTAGTACTAAGCTCCGAGGAGCGGTCGGTAGACGTTGGAGACCTGCGGCGCCTTGTCGTGCATTTAGGGTTTTTAGGCGTGCAGGGGGGGGGGGGGTTTAGGGTTTAGGGTTTAGGGTTTAGGGTTTGGGGTTTGGGGTTTGGGGTTCGGGGTTAAGGGCTTAGGGTTTAGGGCTTGAGGTTTGGGGTTGCGGATTTAGGGTTTAGGGGCTCAGCCTAACAGTTCTGGTGCTGGCTTTGGGTTCGCCGCTGGTGCCCGCCCCCCATGTTGTAATCGCCACCGCTCCAAAGCAAACTGCCAGCCAGAACGCTGTTTAGGGTTTAGGGTTTAGGGTTTAGGGCTTAGGGCTTTAGGGTTTAGGGTTTAGGGCTTATTTGCTTAAGAACCCCAAATAAATAGAAAACCATAATCCCCATATTGCCCTCATGAGGAAGAATATTTGTTATGTCTTCAGGGTCCTTAACTAAAAAGTAGTAATTGAGCGGTCTCCTCGTTTCAGGGGTTCAGGGGCACAGAAGACTGAGACTGAGACTTGCAGCGCATCTGGGGGGGGGGCTTTTGGGGTTTACGGTTTACGGTTTACGGTTTAGGGTTTAGGGTTTAGGGTTGAGGGTTTAGGGTTGAGGGCCAGAGGGTTCCTAAACCCACACCAGAAACGAAGAAACCAAAATTCTCAAGAGCCCAAAGCTCTAAAACCTGGAAAGAACCCTAAGACCCCTCCAAAGCCCTAAAACCTCTAGACCCTTCACTGTCACACAGGGCTCCTAAACCACGGCAAGCAAGAGAATAAGCTCCCAAAGCCCTAAAGCTCGAAAGCCCCAAAGCCCCAAAGCCCTAAATCCCTAAAGCCCTAAAGCCCTAAAGCCCCAAAGCCCTAAAGCCCTAAAGCCCTAAAGCCTTAAAAGCCTAAACCCTAAACCCTAAAAACCAGAAGCCCCAAAGCCCTAAAAACATGCGCCGGTCTCTTGCGCCTCAGCGCCGACCCCAGCCTTCGCATGGTACTCAGTGGACCTTGGGTTTAGGGTTTAGGGTTTAGGGTTTAGGGTTTAGGGCTTAGGGTTTAGCAAAGCGTGATGATTGTAAACGCGAAGGGTTTAGGGTTAGGGGTTTCGGGTTTAGGGTTTAGGGTTTAGGGTTTAGGGTTAAGGGTTTAGGGTTCAGGGTTTAGGGTTTAGGGCAGCTCCCGCGGGTTTCCCATGCTCAAAAAAAACTCTAGATATGCTCCCTCCTTACACCCAAATAAGAGAACATGTACGGGGGTTTACGATGTTAAGGGGGCACCTTGTTGGGATCCTTGTGATAAGGGAATTTCACTCTTCGAGGGGTCTTTCTTCGGGGCCCCTGGTGATCGTAACCCCCCCCCATATATCAAATATCCCAAGGGGCTACCGAGCATGTGCCACTGGCTTCAGACTGGTGCATCGCGCTTTTGTCCCGGCTAAAGCAGCTCCGGTCTCACAGTGCCAAAAGTGCTGACCACTTTCAGGGGCAAAGTCGTCATTACGTCTTGCGCCCTGACCGAAGCCAGACAAATCTAGTAGTCCACAAAGGGGCAGAAGGAGGGACAGAAGGAGGACGCTGCGCGCTCACTGCGCGTTTAAAACATGCTGATTCAGCTATTCTAGCAGTCGAGCGCAGTCTAACACGCAAGCTCTCACATTAGTGGAACCCTTCATGGGACTGCCTCAACACTTTGCCGGCCTTTCAAAAATGACGGTACTACATCTCCTGTATCTCCTCCTCCTTCTCGCCGCTGATGGCGTCCGCAATGCCAAGCTCGAAGCCGAGGGGAGGGACCTCTTCGGACTCTGGCTTCTCCTCCTCCGTCGTGCCCTCCTTTTCGTGCAACATGGTGTGGTGTTCCTCCTTCTTCTTCCTGCAGAGACTGAGGATGCCCGAGACGATCTCCACAATGGCCTCGCCGACAATCAGGCCCAGCGCCAGGGAGATGGAGGTGACCATGAGGCCAGCAAAGGTGTTGTCATCCGTGGCGTTTGGACCACTGGGGGGGATGATGGTGTTGAACCACATGCGGGCGATCATCGAGCCAGGCACCAGCTGGTAAACTGCTGGCATGAGCATCGCCCAAATGTTCATGGATTCGGCATACACGATCGTGTCCAGCAACAGGTCTTCCTCGTGCCTCTCCAGCCTGATCTCCTTGCGGTCATGATCCGGATCCTTGAGCTCCTTCGACTGCTGGTAAAGCTTCTTTTCGAGCTGGACCATGTGCTTGTCGGCCTCCCTGCCGATCCCGATGCAGTTGAAGAACTTGACGACCCCGGAGATGCAGCCATACAAGACGTCGTCCAGCACGGAGTCCGTCTCGTCTCGGTGTGCCCCACGCTGAAGAAGCTGGGCGTAGTAGATCGAGTTGATGAAATCCATCATGGCCGACAGGAAGCACGCCGTCACGACACTGGCTGCAGCGCCACAAACGTTGGAGGCCATGACATCGAGGTTACTCTTGGCGTCCCCGGACGTAACCATGGACCTGGACACTTGAAACTGAACCTCGTAGCCCGCGAGCTGGACGAGCAGGCCACGCCACATCTGCTCCACGCGGAAGCGGTACTGGCCCAGGACGGACAGCGAGCAGGCCAAGTACAAGGGAACGCGCCACCAGTACAGGCCGAGGTCAAGGGTGCCGCAGTTCGCAGCCTGCGCGCCCCACATCTCGGCGACCTCGGTAGGGTCTGGTACAGCAAGGAGCATCCCGAAGCAGCACATGACGCAGAGGACGAAGGTCTTGATGCTGACGGCCATGAAACGGGTCACGCCCGTCTCGAGCTCCCCGGCCAAGATCTCCACCAGCCCCACCACGAAGGCAGTACCATAGAAGAACCAGTACAAGGTCCCCATGAAGATGGAGACGAGGCAGTACTTCTGGCCGTCATACTTGTAGAAGAGGGTTCCGATGACGCCGGTGATGAGACCCACCGCCAGGTCGATCAACATGGTGGCCTCGCCCCCGACCCTCTGCAGGGCGTACTCGATGAGGCCAGTCACCAGACCGCAGATAGCGGCCACTCCCGCCTCATACTCGGTACCTCCGAAGAAGATCACGGCGCACGTGGACGACATGGCGGGCAGGACGATCAGCCTGCCCGGGTAGTCACGGATGAACAAGCCCGTCTTGGCTGTGTGTTTCCCTTGCTTTGCCTCCTCCTGGAAGAGGAGCGCTTCATGGACCGTCATGTGCCCATTGTAAAGCGCCGCAGCGATCCTCATGAACATGTCCTGGTACTCTGAGTCGTAGTCGTAGGGGCACTTCCGCTGGAGCTCGAAATCGCCGTCCTCCATGAAGAACTTCAACTTGATAACGCCGAGCTCCCAGGTCATTGTGAGCCCAACCATTTCCGAACACTTCTTCAGGGTCTTGGTCGTCAGGAGGGTCATGTTCCACGCGCGATGCATCTCCATGGCTGTCTGCATGTTGAAGACAAACAAGAGCGCATACTCCTCATCGAACCTCTCCTTAAGAGATGTGTACACCCGGTGCATGTCAGCCGGAAGACCACTGGGATCGAAGTGGCGCGTGGAAAAGGACACCATCTTCCGGAGGCCATCGTGCTCCTCGAGGTTTTTGTTGGGGCGCAGGATGTAGGTTGAGATGTTCCTGCTTATACTAACAGTCCTCAACAAGGATGAGAATAGGGGTACTATATTCCCTTCTAAGGACTGTTCGTGTAAAGGGGAACATCCCCTGGTTTAGGGTTAGCTCGTGACATGCTTGCGCATGGGCCAGGCCGCATAAGCTTGGTGGTGGCTCATGGATGTCTCCCCCCCCAAACCCTATACCCTGAGTGTTATGTGAGTTCTGCAATGCCACAGCGATGAACTTCAGCGTAAGACTTCACAATGGAATGCAGAAACCACATGAACAAAATCATCTCGAGGGAGATCTCTGCGCAGTCCGTACACATCCTAAAACAAAAGCTATGGCTTCTTTCCTATCGCACCACGATGCTTCCTCAGACCCCCTATCCGATAGCTTGGTGTTGGATCTTTTTCTCGCCAGGGCCTACTTAAACCCTAAACCCTAAACCCCAAACCCCAAACCCTGAACCCGAAACCCTGTCCTCCAGGTGACTTTGGCTGCACACGCGCTTCACGGGCGTCTTTGGCGAATTCGCGGTCATGGCTCGGACGAGAGTGACCTATCACCAGTCAGCCTTCATACCGCTGTGGAGCCCAAGCTTCGAAGTCGCAGAATTTTGGAGGACCTCCTCTCAAACCCGGCCATCAACATCATACGAAGCAGGGTTCATATTTCTTGTATCCCCAAAAGGACACCAAGAAAATACACTCACTAGAACTAGAAAGGAACCTTATAGACACTCACCAATACAACAGTAATATAAACCCTGATAAAAACTAAACCTCTCACCCCCCAAAAAAAAAACCTTCAAGACCCTCAACCCGCAGCCCCTGGTGAAAAGACCACAGCCTGGAGCCGTGAGCGGATGTGCGCACAACCCCTCAACCCCTCAACCTTTCAACCCCCTAAACCCCTAAACCCCTTTCAACCTTTCAACCCCCTAAACCCCTAAACCCCTTTCAACCCCTAAACCCCTTTCAACCCCTAAACCCCTCAACCCCTAAACCCCTTTCAACCCCTAAACCCCTAAACCCTAAACCCTAAACACGAACTGCGAATGCCACTTCCTGCTTCGAATGGGCACCCGGGCCTCTATTTCCTGTCCAGGTGCCTGAGGGGTTTAGGGGTTTAAGGTTTTAGGGTTTAGGGTTTAGGGTTTCGGGTTTAGGGTTTAGGGTTTAGGGTTTAGGGTTTAGGGTTTCGGGTTTAGGGTTTAGGGTTTAGGGTTTCGGGTTTAGGATTTAGGGTTTTAGGGTTTAGGGTTTAGGTTTAGGGGTTTAGGGTTTAGGGTTTAGGGTTTAGGGTTTAGGGTTTAGGGTTAGGGTTTAGGGTTTAGGGTTTAGGGGGTTTAGGGTTTAGGGGAAGGCAGAACTTTCGGGGGGGGGGGGGGGGGGGGGGGGAAAGGATTCTAGGATTCCATTTCTCTGACAGAAGGGCATTTAGGGGCTTGCCCTAGCAGTACGATGATGGCTTCGGTTTCTGCTTTTTCGTCGCGGTCGCTTGGGGTAGCCACGATGTCGAGGCACCTTAGTACCCTTTTACCCCCCTAAGACAAGCCTACACCTCCATAAAACAAAAAAACCCAAAACCCGAATAGGTTTTAGGGTGTAGGGTTTAGGGTTTAGGGTTTAGGGTTTAGGGTTTAGGGTTTAGGGTGTAGGGTCACTTTCCCCTACTTTTCGGGCCCGAATTCACGATCGACTCAATTCGAGGAAGGCACTGGCCAGTGGACCCAACACTTAGGCTTCCACATCCTAAACCCTGGACCCTAAATCCTGAACCCTAAACCCTAAACCCCCTAAAACGCTCCACGCGTGTGCAGAGTGCCTTGGCGGTGCCACCAGATCCCCAAGAGATCCTCACGCGCACAAGGAAGGAAGCAATCGGGCCCCGAAGGCCTATAGGGTTTAGGGTTTAGGGTTTAGGGTTTAGGGTTTAGGGTTTAGGGTTTAGGGTTTAGGGTTTAGGGTTTAGGGTTTAGGGTTTAGGGTTTAGGGTTTAGGGTTTAGGGGGCTTAACGAGCTACGTGCACTCATGGGCTCCGGTTGGGACTGTGAGCATCTTTTCTCTGGTGGCAAAGCAGCCGGCTGGGTGAGTCAGTGCGATCAGTGCTGACCGAAGCCAGACAAAATCGTCAGTACATCAAAACGTGTTTCCCTGACCATTGCCAGACAATTCAACGCGACCACAAAGGGACAGGCATGGCGCGCGGATTGCGCGCGAAGTTCGCTGATTCAGCATGATTCAGCTATTCTAGCATCTAGCAAGCAAGCTCTCTCTCTCTCTCTGGCCCCCTCACGGGGCTGCCTTAGGTGGCGCCAAACATCGAGCTACAGGGGCCATACTTCTTCGTCCTTCTCGTCCTTCTCGCCGCTGATGGCGTCCGCAATGCCAAGCTCGAAGCCGAGGGGAGGTACCTCTTCGGACTCTGGCTTCTCCTCCTCCTTGCCCTCGTTTTCGTGCAACATGGTATGCTGTTCCTCCTTCTTCCTGCAGAGACTGAGGATGCCCGAGACGATCTCCACAATGGCCTCGCCGACAATCAGGCCCAGCGCCAGGGAGATGGAGGTGACCATGAGGCCAGCAAAGGTGTTGTCATCCGTGGCGTTTGGACCACTGGGGGGGATGATGGTGTTGAACCACATGCGGGCGATCATCGAGCCAGGCACCAGCTGGTAAACTGCTGGCATGAGCATCGCCCAAATGTTCATGGATTCGGCATACACGATCGTGTCCAGCAACAGGTCTTCCTCGTGCCTCTCCAGCCTGATCTCCTTGCGGTCATGATCCGGATCCTTGAGCTCCTTCGACTGCTGGTAAAGCTTCTTTTCGAGCTGGACCATGTGCTTGTCGGCCTCCCTGCCGATCCCGATGCAGTTGAAGAACTTGACGACCCCGGAGATGCAGCCATACAAGACGTCGTCCAGCACGGAGTCCGTCTCGTCTCGGTGTGCCCCACGCTGAAGAAGCTGGGCGTAGTAGATCGAGTTGATGAAATCCATCATGGCCGACAGGAAGCACGCCGTCACGACACTGGCTGCAGCGCCACAAACGTTGGAGGCCATGACATCGAGGTTACTCTTGGCGTCCCCGGACGTAACCATGGACCTGGACACTTGAAACTGAACCTCGTAGCCCGCGAGCTGGACGAGCAGGCCACGCCACATCTGCTCCACGCGGAAGCGGTACTGGCCCAGGACGGACAGCGAGCAGGCCAAGTACAAGGGAACGCGCCACCAGTACAGGCCGAGGTCAAGGGTGCCGCAGTTCGCAGCCTGCGCCCCCCACATCTCGGCGACCTCGGTAGGGTCTGGTACAGCAAGGAGCATCCCGAAGCAGCACATGACGCAGAGGACGAAGGTCTTGATGCTGACGGCCATGAAACGGGTCACGCCCGTCTCGAGCTCCCCGGCCAAGATCTCCACCAGCCCCACCACGAAGGCAGTACCATAGAAGAACCAGTACAAGGTCCCCATGAAGATGGAGACGAGGCAGTACTTCTGGCCGTCATACTTGTAGAAGAGGGTTCCGATGACGCCGGTGATGAGACCCACCGCCAGGTCGATCAACATGGTGGCCTCGCCCCCGACCCTCTGCAGGGCGTACTCGATGAGGCCAGTCACCAGACCGCAGATAGCGGCCACTCCCGCCTCATACTCGGTACCTCCGAAGAAGATCACGGCGCACGTGGAGGACATGGCGGGCAGGACGATCAGCCTGCCCGGGTAGTCACGGATGAACAAGCCCGTCTTGGCCGTGTGCTTCCCTTGCTTTGCCTCCTCCTGGAAGAGGAGCGCTTCATGGACCGTCATGTGCCCATTGTAAAGCGCCGCAGCGATCCTCATGAACATGTCCTGGTACTCTGAGTCGTAGTCGTAGGGGCACTTCCGCTGGAGCTCGAAATCGCCGTCCTCCATGAAGAACTTCAACTTGATAACGCCGAGCTCCCAGGTCATTGTGAGCCCAACCATTTCCGAACACTTCTTCAGGGTCTTGGTCGTCAACAGGGTCATGTTCCATGCGCGATGCATCTCCATGGCAGTCTGCATGTTGAAGACAAACAAGAGCGCATACTCCTCATCGAACCTCTCCTTGAGAGATGTGTACACCCGGTGCATGTCGGCCGGGAGACCGCTGGGATCGAAGTGGCGCGTGGAAAAGGACACCATCTTCCGGAGGCCATCGTGCTCCTTGAAATTTGCAGAAGTGTAGTGCTTAGGGTTTGGTAGCAATTGGGGCGTGGGTGGGGGTGGGGGGGGGTGGGGGGTGGGTGGGGTGGGTGGGGGGGGTGGGTGGGTGGGGGGGGGGGGTGTGGTGTGGGGGTGGGGGGGTGGGGGGGGGGTGGGGGGTGGGGGGGGGGGTGGGGGGTGGGGGGTGGGGTGGGTGGTGGGGTGTGGCGGGTGAAAGGGTGGTTGGCGGTGGCGGTGGTGGATGGTGGTGGATGGTGTGATGGTTGTACGACTGATCCTTACAGAGCCGCACTTGCGCAGTGCATGGGGAGGAATGGAGGAAAAGGATTGCGCGCGGTGGGGTCGTGCTGCAATCTTTGTGAGTGTGACGGGTATGTGGCTGGGTGACTGGGTGTGTGGAGGTGTGGAGGGGGCTATATTCAGCGTCCCGGCACCGACGCATGAGTGTCGTTGAAGCACGTTGCAAAGATTTCAGCATCTGTTTGACGTCTGTTTTGCTTGCTGTTATTTGATTTAAACGTGGTAAACGGAGCCTTGTCGCATGGCCCGCCAACACACGCGGGGAGGGGGGGGGCGGGGTGGCGTTTCGACCGAAAGTTTCGATCGAAAGTTTTGAACGAAACGTTTTGCCTTTTTAAAACTTTGCCCCCCCCTTTGGGGGGCGGGGGGGGAAGGGGGGGGGGGGAGGGGGGGAGGGGAGGGGGGGGGGGGGGGGGGGAGGGGGGGGGGGGGAGGACGAGGTTTAAGTAAATTGAGCGTTTGGCCCCAGACTTAAACTCGGCTTGTCAGCTGCTTAGACAAATAACTTGAAAATTCAGAATGATACCACATACAATTTCTATTTACTTTGTCTTGAGGGTTTAGGGTTTAGGGTTTAGGGTTTAGGGTTTAGGGTTTAGGGGTTAGGGTTATATAAACGTAGCAAGCTGAGCCTTGTTGCATGGCCCGCCAGCGTCCAACACACGCGGGGGTCGTTTAAACACACGAAACTCGAGAAAGCAGACGCAGACTTGAGACAGGGTTTGCAAAGTCCAGGGCCGCTCGTCTGGAGCAATGGCGCCATGGTCAAGGCATCCGATCACACGAGACCCAACTGAACTGTCACACATAAAAAAAAAAAAAAAAAAAAAAAAAAAAAAGCTACACAATTTTGGCGCTTGGAGGTTCCACCGACCATTCAAGAAGCCGACGCGGGATGTTGAACAGAGCCCTAAACCCTAAACCCTAAACCCTAAACCCTAAACCCTAAACCCTAAACCCTAAACCCTAAACCCTAAACCCTAAACCAGAGCACGGGCTGCTAGTCGGGAGGTTCCCGTGAAGCGCGTCAACGTGCATGGGTTGTAGGGTTTTAAGGTTCTAGGGTTTTAGGGTTTTAGGGTTTTAGGGTTTTAGGGTCTTAGGGTCTTAGGGTCTTAGGGTCTTAGGGTCTTAGGGTCTTAGGGTCTTAGGGTCCTAGGGTTTTAGGGCTTCAGGGTTTTAGGGTTTTAGGGTTTTAGGGTTTTAGGGTTTTGGGGTTTTGGGGTTTTGGGGTTTGAGGGTTTATAACCGGACTCTGTCCTCCAGGTGACTCTGGCTGCACACTCGCTTTGGCGATTTCGCGGCCATGGCTGAAGCAGGGTCTACGGATCGAGACGGCCCCTTCAACCTTTAAAACAGAAACTCTCGAGAGCTCCTGGAGCCCAAAAAGAGCCAAGTCGCCAAGTTCTGCAGGCTTCCCCGCCCCCTGCTTGGGAGGCTCATGGGCTCATGTGAGTAGTTATGTTGGCTGAAGTAAGATGTGCTCATGAGAGCCTACTTCTGGGTACAGTCCTCTCCAGGAGACCTACAGAGCGTAGCTACACAACTACCTACGAGCCTTCAAGTGCTTCCCCCCCTATATACATACACATATATATATATATATATACATATATGTATATATACATATACATACATATATATATATGCATATATACATATATATATATATATATACCTACGAGCCTTCAAGTGCTTCCCCCCCCCCCAGCCCTCAAGGGCAGTCCTTGCCCGCCCTGCACGGCGGAAGGCCGGGGAGGCCTCATCTCTCCAAACATCGCGCAAAACCGGTCGTAAAACAATTGTTCAATAGTTAATTAGTAATTAATTAACAATTAATTCATAAAAAAAAAAAAAAAAAAAAAAAAAAGTCCCTAAAGACCCTAAATGCAAACAACCCTAAGCAACCCTGAAGACACAAAAATGAGCCGTTAGGAGACACGACATAGGGCATAGGGGGTTTAGTTCTTAGGGCTTAGGGCTTAGGGCTTAGGGCTTAGGGCGTAGGGCTTAGGGCTTAGGGCTAACACCCAAACCTGGCACACCGGGGAAGGGGCTGCGCGCAGAGTCAGAGCTCCGTGGTGGACAGCCCGATGGCCCCTGCACCTGGCCCGAAAGACGTAGGGTCTTCAGAGTTTTGTTCGAGTGTTGGGGTTTCAGGGTTTCAGGGGGTTCAGGGTTTCAGGGTTTCAGGGTTTCAGGGTTTCAGGGTTTCAGGGTTTCAGGGTTTCAGGGTTGAACTTTGGAGTTCAAAAATGCTTGGGTTAAGGGGGGGGGGGGGCTTGGCCTTGCTCTTGGGGACTGGAGGGCTCTACACGAGGGTGGCCAGATAGGGCCCGACCCCTTTTTTGGGACAAGGACCCCACACTGCAGCAGGGGTTTACGAGAATGGGGCGACCCTTAATCTAGACCCCAAACAGTAGGATTCCCTTATAATAAGGACTCCTCATTTCAGAAACTCCCATGTTCGTCTGAGGGGCTTTGGAACAAGGACGGGACTGAAAACATCGCCACGCCCACTGGACGTTCGCGGAGGGTCGAGGAGCGGATGGGTTGAAGCTCCTGTGCAAGCCCCCATCTTTGCGGATCTCCCCAAAATGGGGGTTTACGAAAATGGGGGGGGACCCTTAATCGACACCCCGTTTGGGTGGACCCTAAACCCTAAACCCTTATGTGGCCCTCACCTTCGACACTCTCCTCGGATTGCCCTCTCGCAGTCAGTCCTCTTCAAGGTTGCCTTGAAGGGGGCGCCTGCCAAGCCGGCTCTCTCGAGCACACGGGGATTGCAACCGGCCCTCTGACACCCAGCAGGTGCCATTCAGGGTTTAGGGTTTAGGGTTTAGGGTTTAGGGTTTAGGGTTTAGGGTTTAGGGTTTAGGGTTTCGGATGCAATGAGAGAAAGCTGACAACCAGGTGCTCAACAAAAGACACCATCCCCAGGCACTCCCGCAAACTCAAGTCAGCCTGCCTCAAGTGCAAAAGACATCAGGCACGCAACGAACTCCTGGAAGTTTCGAGCTTGTGCACCCCTAACTGACCGAGATTGTAGGCGTGGCGCAAGAATCTTTCAGGACGTCGTTTGTTCAACTTAAGGAATCGCCAGAAGAGCCCAGATGCACGCATCGCACACCTCGCACATGGACGCAGGCTCACAGCGTACTTCACTGAGTCTTGCCCTGACCCCTAAACCCTAACCCCTAACCCCTAACCCCTACCCCCTAACCCCTAAACCCTAAACCCTAAACCCGAATCCTCGAAGTTGAGGTCGCCATTTTGATCCTGCGAACAGCAGAACTCTCAGCATTCGGATGTGCCAAGCCCGGCGGTCTGAAAGAGACTCAAAAGTCTAAGTTGGGATGCTTTCCCCTTTTCTAGCAGTCCTTCATAGGGACTACCATACGGGGGGATTATAATCCCTATTAACACGGGGAACATCGCAGGGTCTAAGAGTCTAGGTCTCTGCCACAGGCAGTTGCTGCTCCTCCTAACGAGGGTCATCTGTGGCCCGCACCGTGTCCGCTGCATCGAAGATCTTTCTTTGTGCCTCCCGGGATAAGCTCGGGCCTCGGAGAGCAATGGAATCTGCTGCTTCGATGTCCGCTGCAGAGCAAGCTCCCTCTGCCCTCCGTCTGCAGCCAAGCTGCCAATATCCTGGGAGGGGGGGAGGGTCATTCGCGGCGCTCACGAAAGAAACCGAGATCATGGGAAAAAAATGTCATTGTATGGAGAGCAGCACTTTGGATAAAGCTTGTCCTCATGAGTATCATTGTTGCAGCGATTCTGTGAGGGGTGCAGCTTTGTTTCGGGAACCTGCAGGCTATTCGAATCTTTGTGAAAACTCAGCAGATTTGTTCACATATCCAGCATGACTGCATCCTCTTGGCACGGATCATCACTTGGAAGCCCCTAAACGTCCGTAGTTGCACGTACTTGCTCCTCTGGCTAGCATCTCGCACGGTACTCACCTGCACCACCCCTAAACCCTAAACCCTGAACCCCGCAACCCTAAACCCACACCCTGCGTTCTTGCCTTCATGACCATCCGAAACTCGTCAAAATCTATGGCATTGTCACCTCAGCATCGGGAAGCATGCAAGTCTTTGCTGTGCACATCCTGAACCGGATGGGCTGCGTAGATGTCCGCCGACTATTTCGTCACGTCCAAGCTCTAGGGTGTGGGGTTTAGGGTTTAGGGCTAGGGTTTAGGGTTTAGGGTTTAGGGTTTTGGGGCTTGGGAGTTTAGGGTTTTGGGGTTTTTTGGGATTTCCAAGCCAGCCGCCAAGCCTGGCTTGTAGCTTTGGGGATGGAAGCTGGAACATTGCGCACACCCAAAGAACTGTCTCAGAAAATACATGTGGCCACTTCTCTACATTATTTCGGGTTTAGGGTTTAGGGCTTAACTAGGGTCCTACTGGATGGCGGCCCCTATTATACTGGGTACCCTAAAAAGGGACCTTCATTTAGAGAATCGACCATGTGCGCTCCAGTCCGATTCACACAACCGGCTGAGGACTGCGCCATTCGCGTCATACTGGGCAAAGAATGGCGCCAATACCTGCCAGTCTTGAGAGGTCTCTTGGCATGTACTAAACCCTAAACCCTAAACCCCTAAACCCTAAACCCTAAACCCCAGCCCTAAACCCTAAACCCTAAACCTTAAACCGGGCTTTGTCACAAAGGAATCTGCAGGTTCTCAGCTTCTACATGGACGGTCTCGCGCCTTGACCATGCGCTGAACCTCATCCTGGTTCTCCTTGTTAAGCAATACCTCTCGGGTTTAGGGTTTGGGGTTCAGGGTTCAGGGTTCAGGGTTCAGGGTTCAGGGTTCAGGGTTCAGGGTTTAGGGTTTAGGGTTAGTTTCCTAAATTCAGGTCCCTTTCTTGGGTACCCATGCTAAGCCCGCAGGCACCCTTTAAGACAGGGATCCCAGGAAGGGACCCTAATTTAGAGAAAGACACGCCAGGAACTTCATTGACAGCATGGTTCCGAGGGAATCTTGACTTCTGAGCCTCGACATCATACTAGAATTCCCCCCGAAGGTGAAAGAATTCTCATCCACGGAAAGCGCCCGCGCACCACCTTGTCCCAAGCCCGAAACCCTAAACCCGAAACCCTCAACCCTAAACCCTAAACCCAAAGACACGCCTAAATTGGGCAGCGGGCCTCCGTGAGGTCGCCCTTCGCAAGGTTCCTGCTCATCCTGCTCCGAACACTTCTGACAAGAAGCCCCCAACGCTTGCCACAGTGGCTACCATGGGCCTAGTGTTGCAAGATTTTTGGGTCTAGGGGTTTAGGGTTTAGGGTTTCGGGTTTAGGGTTTGCTCTGTGCTTTCCGTGCAACACCTTTGGGCCACCAGGGCAGGTGGGGATGCTCGGGCGATTGCGTATTCAAGTCACAGTCAGCGGAGCCCACATTCCCTGACCTCCCAGCAACCAAACCCTAAACCATAAGCCCTAAACCCTGGACCCTAGGCCCTAAACCCCTAAACCCTAAACCCTAAACTCTAAACCCTAAACCCTAAACCCTAAACCCTAAACCCTAAACCCTAAACCCTAAACCCAAACCCTAAACCCTAACCCTCCCTTCCGCACCGCTGAGAGTCGCGGAAGGAGGCCAAGACGTCACGCAGACGATGCGGACTCCCTGGCGTAGGGGCTGTGGCTGAAAAGCTGGGGCACAAGAGCCCTGGCGCTGCAGCCTCTAACATGCTTTGAGCTGCTCCTTGAAGCTGCTTTGAAGCCCTCAACACACTGTGCATCGCTTGATCACGCAGCTTGGAGTTGGTTAGTAGGGAATGATGGAATAAGGCCCTAAACCCTAAACCCTAAACCCTAAACCCTAAACCAGGGTTTTTTGGAGGGACATAGGGTACCTCATTCCCTCATTCCCTACTAGCCAACAGCGCGCTCACTTCCCAGGCCCTGTGACTAAACCCATGCCGGTTCCACCATCGGCCGTGGGCGGCAGAGAATCCTGAAGCTTGCAACTGTTCAGGGTTTAGGGTTTAGGGTTTAGGGTTTGGGGTTTAGGGTTTAGGGTTTGGGGTTTAGGGTTTAGGGTTTGGGGTTCCGGGTCTTCCTACGAAGTGCTTGGAATCAGAATATGTCGGTGACGTGATAGCGCCCACTGCATGTGAATGAAGCAGGGACGGTGAAGACGCTTGTTTGCAACTGTGCATCTACAATCAAACCACGTTCTCAGCCCGAATGTTGCAAGCTTTCGCAAGTTGGCATTCTCAGCCCTGGTTCACACACACGAAGGGAGAGTCTCAAACTAGTACCTTAGCTGCTAGACAAGGTCGCCAAGAACTGCCCATATTGCTACTGACATTGTAGTCCCGCAAGCTACAAAGACACGCTCGCGCACAAGGAACGGCCACAATTGCCATCAGACTGGTCTTTGTTTCTCTTCTATGGGGAATTCTCTAAATTAGGGTCCCTTTTGGGGTCACGTTTACGAAATTAGGGGTCCCTTATTGGAATCCTTGTTATACTTCTACTGTTTGGGGGACTATCCCTTTATTCTCGTAAACCCCCCTTATTGGGAGGTTCATCGTACTTATTCACCAATCATAACCGTACTTATAAGCCCCTTAAGTGCCTAATATGGTGATAAGTACAGTGGTAAGTACACTTATAGTTGGGAAAATAAGTACCATGAACCTCCAAGTACGACTTCGGATCCTCCTGTTTGAGGCCAGGCCTTGAGGGGGTCGTGGATGACGCTGGCACCAACAGTGCCGTCCTCTGATGGGACGCCCCACGGCTGTGTTTGGGGTTTAGGATTTAGGGTGTGGGATTTAGGGTTTAGGGTTACCCCTGATACCCACTAGGCCGATACGCCGATATGCCGACATGGCGTGTCTTGTTTCTGAAGTATGCTAGAGACTGTGCAGTGATTTGACTGCCACCCACACGTTGTTCATTCTGGACTTGCAGGTGATCCATCGACATTGCCGTGGCCAGCAAGTGCCAGGACTACAACATGCCCCCACACGCTCGAAGTTTAATGATGACCCCTGCAAGCACTTCAGAAAACAGGCCCTGCCTCAGCCTGCACTGGTTGAAAGAAAGGCCGAATCACGCGCCTGATGTCGTTGCTCCTGGTGTCCCAGACTCCAGAACGAGGTTCAGGTCGGCTGGTCGAAGTGCTCGGAGTGCTCGAAGTACTCCACGGGCAGCACTGGCAAAGTTCTTGACTCAACCAAGCAGAGGCCCTCAGCAAGGATGACTTCTGGGCTTGCTTTTCATCTCGGTCCGTGCGAGGGCCGGCCAAAGCATTGCTGAAAACCATGTTCTGGATGCGGAGCAGCGCTCTCCTCTGGATCTCTGCCGCTTGCGGGCTGCCATCCACATCGTCTTGAGGTGGGAGGCCTGCGTCAAACTGTACTGTAGCCAGAAATTCCAGCCAACCATGTGGAACGTGATGTTGCACCACCATCGCCAGGAATTGTGCCCGAGTGAACGCCTTGTACAACTGAGAGCAGCTCTTGAAAGTCGTCTGCGGGTCACCTTCGCCATCATCCAGGATCTTGTCATCAAGGCCGATGCAAACAACCATGAGCATCTCCAGACCATCCGCATTGTTGACCGTGTCCAGTACAATCTGCTCTCTTCTCTTCTCCGGCGCCCAGGTGAAGGCATGCAGCCGCTCCGGCAAGTTTCGCAAAGACTCAGCAAAGGACACAAGGCCGAGATTCTTCTGAGGATACTCATCCTTCAGTCGCTTGCCCAGCGACTTCCACAATCCAGCTCTGAACTGCTCGTTGGGCACAAGCAAAGCGAGCCGACGGTGCCAGCCAAGCCCGGCGTAGCGCTGCGCGATCTGCTGCAAGGCCCGCATGGTCTGTTCTGCGTATTGCTCGGCAAGGGTCTTGTGCTCGGCGGCCTCGAACAGAAAGGACTGCAATGGCGGCCCGTCCGTGGCGATGGCGCGAAGCCGTTCATCCGGGCACGGGCTCCAGCGAAAAGAGGCTGCCCCTTGCACAACGCGCTTTGTGGAGCGAACCACTTGTGTCAATCTTGCATGATACAAGAACTCGGGGAATGTGTGGTCCGCAGCATCCGATTGCGACTCGTCGGCCAAAACCAGCAGCTCCTCGATGTTCATGTGCAGCTCAATGAAAGCCAGCCTCATGGATGCGCCTTCGGTCGTTTCATCCAGCTGATCTTCCAGCGCAACCTTGCTGCAGCCAGCTCCAAAGAGATTGTGGCCTTCATCGACAACAGCCAATGCAAACTTGGTTGCGTTAGTTGCTAGGCTGTATTCGATTCGTCCCTCTTGGATGATGGGGGTGTAAGGCGTGTCAAAGGGCTCGTGGAGCATGACCAAGCGTGGCAACACATCCTTAATAAAGTCCAGGGACTCCTCCCTACCAGGAGCGGACAGGCGCATGGCCAGCCAATTGATGAAATGGTATCCAAGCGCGCGAGTAGGACTCACGAACAGCACCGTGGCGGAGGGCTTGCGCAGAGTCTCCAGCACACGCTGTACCGTGACAAAGGTCTTCCCTGCACCCGCAGGGGCCCTCAAGAGCACAGCCTTGTGCTTGGCCAGATCTTGTACGATACGTTGCTGTTGCTCCGTCAGCGTCGTTAAGCACAAGACCACGTCTTCGTACAACTCCAAGAAGCGGGTGCAGTCTATCTGAAGTTGGCAAGAATCGCCGTTGAGCTCTTTCTTTATGGCAGCATTCATGCTTTCCTCCAAGGTGCCATTCAGCGTACTGTCTCGAAGCATCTGCAGCGAAGCAATATCGGAAATCTCCAGTCGCAGATTCAGAGCGGAAACTCCTGTTGGAAGTCTACATACCTCGCAGTTGGCGATGCGGTTGTCCAAACACCCAGAGAGTAACTCCACAAGCTTCTTCTTGCCTCAGCCACATCACGTTCTAGACTGCAGCGCTGCTCCGCAGGACCCCCTAAACCCTAACCCCTCAACCCTAAGCCCTAAACCCTAAACCCGAAGCCCTAAACCCTAAACCTCTTGAGTTCCGGACCAACATGGTCCAAAAGCTCCTGCACGGCCACGTGCGTGTCGCAGATGTGCGTGGAAACAAACCTGGGAGTAGACGAAAATTCATGTGGGGGATAGTTTTAGGGTTTAGGGTTTAGGGTTTAGGGTTTAGGGTTTAGGGTTGAGGGTTTAGGATTTAGGGTTTAGGGTTTCGGGTTTAGGGTTTAGGGTTTAAGGTTTAGGGTTTAGGGGACCCCAAAAAGGCCCCCCGGTAGTAGGATTCCCATACAAGAAGGACCCCAATAAGGTACCCCCCCAAGTTTCGGAAACCCTAAACCCTAAACCCTCAACCCTATACCCTAAACCCTAATTTCGGAAACCCCCACCTCTCACCAGTCTTGGCACAACAAAGCTGCCAGACCGGAGCTTCGCCAATGACGTCAGCTTCGACCTCCGACTGTGAGGGTTTAGGGTTTAGGGTTTAGGGTTTAGGGTTTAGGGTTTAGGGTTTAGGGTTTAGGGTTAGGGTATAAGCGGCCTCCTCCAGAACTTTGGCGCGCAGCCAAGACCCACTCTTGGGATGCAGCGCATCCACCAGGCTGCCTACTTTGAAGCTGTCTGCCAGGAAGCACATCACGTCCACCTCATCATACTCCCAGCCCTCCTCATCCAGCGTGGCAAGCTCCACTTTTTGAGAGCCTCCCAGGCCGACGCCATTCCAAAGGTTCGACGTTGCAAGCTTGTCCATGGAGACCTTGCCCTCCCCCACTTGGCCGGGGAAAAAGACGGCCTTGAGGCGCTGCCCCTTCTCGACCGCTTTGCGCACGTTCTCGAGCCAACGTTTGTACCACCAACAGCCCCACTCCTTCTCCTCTCCATACAAGCGATAGCAGTAACACTTGTTGCCGAGCTTCTGGTGGTCTTGCGCATGAACTCCGAAACCTGCGCACTGCAACGGAACTGTCCGTAGCTCTGTCATAGGCAAGGCCGGTAGCCATGAAAGATGCACACAACTGGACCCCAAGCAAGTGCGACCCACGTTCAACTTTGTCAATAGGTTGGTTTTGGCGGGCTACAGGAGGCCGAGAACGCACAGCTCACAACCGCAATGGGGACAACATGCCGAGGCCACGACCGGTTTCCGGCCTAGGCTGAGCGTCTTGAGCTCTGGAATGGCACAGGCTCTAAGGTTTCCAAAGGTTATATTACGCGTGCTTGGACTTGACTTCTTGGACTTTAGACCAGCACCTCAGCAAATGCCTTCTAAGCACACCCAAGCTTCGTTGTGAGGAAGACACACGCCACGGAATCCTCGTCGCGGGCGGTGGTAAGTGCATCCCAACCAGCTTTGAACTTGCCGGGGAAGGACACCCAGCACGAACAGTTGGAATTCGCCTTGATCTCGCCGGGGAACGTAATCTTCTCTGCGATAAGAACTGCTGGACGCTCCTTTTTGGAGTGAGTCGAACCCGAAGCCCCATAAACCCTAAACCCTAAACCCTAAACACCCAGGCTCCTTCGGAGTGAGTAGCAGGGTCTCCGTCGAGTGCCAGGGCTCGGAATACGCGGGGGCCTGCCAAAAGGAGAAGGGTTTGGGAGCAGGGTTTAGGGTTGAGGGTTTAGGGTTTCGGGCTTCGGGCTTCGGGTTTCGGGTTTGGGGCTTAGGGTTTAGGTTTAGGGTTCAGGGTTTAGGGTTTAGGGTTTAGGGTTTAGGCTTTAGGCTTTAGGCTTTAGGGTTTAGGGTTTAGGGTTTAGGGTTTAGGGTTTAGGGTTTAGGGTTTAGGGTTTAGGTTTAGGGTTTAGGGTTTAGGGTTTAGGGCTTAGAGTAGTTTCTCCTTTTTGACAGCCCTTCACGCCTCTTCGGTTGCGGGAATCTACGTTCTCTGATTTGGAGAATGGCTCTGGATTTTTACCCTAAACCCTAAACCCTAAACTCTAAACCCTCTTTGACGTCGCAAGTCTTGTGTTCGGTACCCTACACAACTCTAAACCCTAAACCCTAAACCCTAAACCCTCAACCCTAAACCCTAAACCCTAACCCTGAAAACCCTACTATATTGGGTCATTTGTAGGAATCCTTAAAGGGAACTACTTTTTGGATCCATGCTCCCTCATGTTCAAGCTGCCTTCGTGCCAGCTTGGTGGGGGTTGTTATGTGGCATCCGCAAAAAAGAATCTGAGTTGGAATCTACAGCAGCACTAAACCCTAAACCCTGAACCCTAAACCCTAAACCCTACACCCTAAACCCTAAACCCTATACCCTAAACCCTAAACCCCTAGTTGCAAATCTTGGTGTTCTTTGTTCAAGGCTGTCGTCAGTGATTGATTCTGGGCTGCAGATCGTCAGGTCCGGAACCTACGCAGGATTTGCTAGGGCGCTTTTGCCTTTACACTATACTTCACAAGAATCGCAAACTTTTGCAAGCAAGCGTGGCAGGCTGGCTTAGGGTTTAGGGTTTCGAGTTTAGGGTTTGGGGTTTGGGGTTCAGGGCTTAGGGTTTAGGATTTAAAAGTTTAGGGTCTAGGGTTTAGGGTTTAAGGTTTAGGGCACCTGGCTCTGCTCGCATGGGCCATGTTGATCTCGACGTGCGACGGGCTGCATGTCCTGAAGCGCGCGCACTTTCCCCCCAACGTGGTGCGAGCCTGATGACATGCAAACTAGGATTCATGGCGGCAAAGCCGCCTGTCGCTTTGGGGATATGATCCCTAAATCCTGAACCCTAAACCCTAAACCCTAAACCCTAATTAAACCCATAGAACCAATGACTTCACCTGATGCCTCAAAAAGCAGCGACCTACATGTTGCCCATTCACACGCGCCCTCAACCTTAGTCACCTCGCCTCGTTTTGAAGGTGGCAGATCCGTCACGTAGGTGGCATTGCTGTGACTGGCAGATATTGCTAGACGCGGAAGCTCAATCCCCCCTGCCCCTCTCATTGACACAACATGTTCAACTGTTATTCTTTGTTTATTCATGGTTAATACCATCCTCTTACTGCATTCTCACGTTTTAGATGTACAGCACTCAACCCTTGAGCCGAAGCGGGCGTGCAGCCTGCTGGTGGTACGCGATCACTGTGCACAGAGTTGTTTCAAAGACTTTGGGGCGAAACATAGACGCTGATCCCTATGTCTTGGGATGTTCCCCCTTAGACTAACAGTAGGGCTGAGGGCCTCTGTGATTTTTGGCGTCCTCCAAAATCGCGATGGGCAAACGAGTGTAAGAAACACAGGCGTTTTTATGGGGATATCTAAGGCTGCCCCTGAACTTAGGAAATACCTGCTGGACACATGACGTGACCACGGGGGCCTCTTTGCAGCTTTGGTGGAGGCATCGCATGGTTCGGCAGGGCGCTTCGGACATTCCATGGCAAGGTCCCACTTCGGCCACAAGTACTACGGGGGTTTCCGAAATTTTGGGGTACCTTATTGGGGGGATCCTACTATTTGGGGGACTATGTTCGGGATCCCTTATTTCCGGAAACCTATGCGGAAAAAGGGCACAGGGGATGGGATAAGAGCACGTCCTTTTGAGGATGCTTTTTGCGGCGTTGCGGGGCATTTTATGGGACTTGCCACGAAGCCCCCGAAGCTGCCAGACAGTGCACAGTCGAGATGCTCGTTGCCTTCGGGTCGGTCGGCCCCTCACTCCTGGCATCTCATGGATGCCTTGGGGCGAACAAGGTGTGACAGGTGCCAAAGGCAGCTGCAAGCTCCTATAAGTCCCCTATTGATTCCTCAAGGCTGCAGCTCGAGTCTCGATTGGGTCTTAGCACCCGACCCCTGCGAAAGAGGGCTCCAGGGGAACTCCACCACGTGCAGCGCCTTCGGAAACAACTTTGTCACCAAAGATGGTGAGCTGCGGCCCATGCGCCCCGCAACATCTCGCCTGCGCTCAAAACGGAGTGGATTTCATGCCCCCTGCGCCTCTTCTGGTCCTTGACGTGAGCCGCGTATTGCGGCCCGAGTGTCCTCCACCGCTGACAGCTAACCGTCACACGCTCCTATGAGAGTCACAAAAAGGGCTGATGGCATGACCATCGACACTGCAGGGTCCTCTTTGGGGATGTGCCAAGTTGGGAAATGGACCTCTTTTGAGTCTATATTCGGCATCCTCAGTCCCTAGGACACAGTTGCTTGGGCCGCAAGTGACTTAGAGCGCCACAGCACATGTCAACGCGAAGCCCGCAACAAGTCCAGCCTTACCGATTTCCCAACACCCTACCATGCCGTGCGGCCTTCAGACAATGGAGTTGCCAACGGCTCCTGGGAAACACACACACAACACACCAAAACACGCACAAAATCGCACAACACATCCCGCCAAACAGAATGCAGAACCTCGAATCCAGCCGTACACTGGCGCCTCCTCGCACTGCTCGCTGGACTCTGGATTCGTAGTGCCGGCTGAAGAACGTGAAAGATCTCCACGCCTGCGGAGACGTCACACACTCGACAAGAACAGCGTCCAAACATCTCGAGAAACACGCACGCGTCACAGTTGCAGACCAAAAGCTTCCTGAGCTACACTACTCGCCGGGTCCTCCGTGCTGAGATAGAGGCGCCGGGGCGGCGCCTCAATCACCACAGAGGCTTTTGTTAATTAAGGAAGTGAGGCCCATAGGATGGGCCTGCACCAGGAGCCCTCTGGCAGGAGGGTCTCCAGCACTGGGGGCCCAGTCGACCTCCGGTAAGCAATGGCGCTCTGTGATGCTCTGTGCGTGCTTCGGCATATGCTCCGGCGCCTGCCCCTCCAGGTCATCCCCGATGATCAACGTGCCCGGCGTGCCCTCCTGCACCTGAACATCAGACCCCACAAAACCCCCCAGAAAATATAACCTGGCTCTGAGTCCACTGGCATCAAGCCTCCGCCTGCAACGCCAGCGCAGGGACCGCAGGAGACGCCGGGGACGCCGGAGACTCCGAGGATGCCAGGGACGCCGGGGACACCGCGGACGCGGCTTCCAGCGGCACCCGAGGCAGCTCCAAGGCCAAAGGAGAAGCCTCCCGCGCGTCCGACACGGTGTCCTACCACCCTTGCTTTTGGGGGGGTGGGCAAGTTTGGGCTGCGGGCCCTCAACCTCATCCTTCCAAAAATAGAAACATGCCGCTCAGAAGCTGGGGCCAGGGAGGAGGACAGCGTTCTGATGCGCTCTCCCACTGGTCTACCCTAGGGTTTGCTTGTGGGGCGCAAGCATTTACGTAAACTGGACCGCCACATGCACGTGAAAGGGTTCTCTCCACACATTCAGCCGAAGGGTTTAGCGGGAAGCGCGGGTTGAGGCTTGAGGGAAAAGGGCAGCGCCTGTGGAAGGGGGCCTGGACGTCCATCCACCTCTACATCACCGGGGGTCCGGGGTGCGCTACAGGAGACATGCTCCCGGAATGCTCCACGGTGCTTTGCCCCGAGGGCCGCGCCAGAAGGAATCCCTCCTCAAGCTCGATGGCATCGTCGTCGCCCTCGGGCACACGTCTTTGATGTCAGCTTGTGGACATCAAGGAGAGCTTGGCCCCGGGCCATCCTCTGCGACTCCTGAAAGAAGGGTCACACCGAGGAGTTTGTTTCATTCTTCCCGTGTTACTGCCATCGTCCCGTCTTCCGTTGAGTGACACAAGGGGCGACGAAGCTGTTGGTGCATTGCCTGGTGGTGCATTTCTTGCCTGTTCCTACCGTTTCCGGAATGTTTTGTTGTCTTCTTGCTGCAGAGCCCCCGTCCCAACCCTCGCCAGCTTGCTACTGCTTGTTTTGACGCTGAGCACGTGCAGATGAACTCACAAAGTATCTGCCACATGCCCCAACGGGCAACACGACTTGCCTGGCACTGTCGAGGAAACTGAGCATATCAAACCAACATGAACCACTGACTTGCACGGATGCTTGAAGAGCGACACCGCCAAGCCCTCCTTGGTGTTGGACGTGTGTTCTGAAGCGAAGAAGATGAACAAGGACGAGGTAAAACGAAGTAGGATGAAGTAGGACGAAGCAGGACGAAGTAGGACGTAGCGGGACGTGGCAGGACGTAGCGGGACGTAGCAGGACGTAGCAGAGCACAGCAAGACGGAGTGACAAACATGTGATGGGAAGCATGAGTGCGTCCCTGAAATGCCTTCGGCTTGAAGTACCAAAAGATCGCCATGAGAGCGATGGGCAGAACCACGGCGAACAACAGGTCGGTGAAGGCCTCCCGCATGTCTGACAGGAGTTCTCTCTACAGGCCGAAGCGATCCCATGTGATCCCACCAGAGGGTGGTCTCTGCCCGCAGCTGTGCCAGCTGCCGCAGCCACCGACGCCCGGCCCGCAGCGTAGCCCTGACCCAGAGCAGGCTTGAGATTTTGCTGGGCACCGCCCGGTGCTCCCCAAGCAAGAAGACAGCCCTTGACTCCCGGAATCCCGAAACACCCCCAAAGAGATGACGCTCACACGGCGCGCGCTGTTGGAGCGATGAGAAGGCCTCCTGGAGCAGGGCAAGCTGGCTCACCCGCAGCGGGCCATTGGGCCTCGGGCGAGGTCTCACACAGGCATCACTTCTGCAAAACCCTTTGTGCATACGGCTTTGCACCTCTTCAGCCCCCTGAAAGCCCTAAACTCTAAACTTAAAAAGCCCGAAGAGCCAGAGAGCCGTGAACCCCCCCCCAACTCACAGCCATGAAAAAAGTCTTATCCCCGAGGCGGTGGCAGCTCCACCGCTTCGGGAAACACCGTCGGCATCGCGGGGCAGTGCAGAAAGCGGCCGACTACCCCCCTGTAGGTGTCAGATAATCGTTTGCACAATCTCAATCAGTTGTGTCCGGTGCTGTGGAGGGATCATCAAGTCAGACAATGCAAGATCCATGCCAATCCATGCCATTCTGCTTCCGAGAACTGTAGGCTTTTGCCAGATCTATGCAACTGAGTGCGAAGCTCCCGGGAGTTGCTGGAGCGATGCTTCGTGCAGGGTCTCTAGGACTGGGAAAATGCGAATAGCGAGAATAGCGACAGTGGCTATTTTGTGCCGCAACTTGAGCCACACCAACGGACTTGCACCCAGGCTAACATGATGAGTCGAGACACTGCAAGCTACGACCTGCGCGTTGTCTTAAGGCCAAAGGTCAACAAGCGGCACACGAACTATACTCTGCTGACGCATTTCTGGGCAAGATGCTGCACATGCAAGTCGTCACGCAACAATGATCAGCAGCACCTACAAGGTGGCCGTTGTTTGCGATCCGTGGACGACCACGATGATAAGCTGCGCCGACAACTGAGAATGTTCTCCCATTTCCGTCTTGAACTTGCGCGCCGTGCTGGAGGCCTGGCACATTGGTAAGCTTGAAGCACACCTCGGGTCGGATGTCGCAGGCTCTCTGAAGATGGGAGCACGTGCGAACTGGATAGGGGAAGGTGCAATCCAAAGCTCCGAGCGGGCCAAGTTCTCTTGGTTCTGGACCCCGTCTGACAAAGCGGACATGACAGTCAACTCTGAGGGGCTGCGCTCCATTGCCACCAGAACTCTTTTGTTCTGCTGCAGCTTGACAGGGACATCAGGCTGCAATTCGAGGTGGCCAGAAGGAGGATTACTTGTACGAGTACTGCTGTGCTCTCCAGAGCCATTTCGTTTTGGCAGCTGCCTCATCTTTGCGACCTTCTTGCGACCAGACAAGTCCAACCTGCGTTTCTCATCTGACTGAGCAAGTACTGCTCAGATGAGGCAGTCGACCTTGCCTCCGCTGGAGTCACTTTCAAAGTGCCCACCTTGCGAAATTGTGAGTAGTCACCTTCACGGAAAGCTGCTCCAGCACCTTCGTCCGCTTGGGTGTACATTCGCGGTCTGCCCTCTTCATTCAGCTTCACTCCAATGACCGTGAAGTACTGCCCATCGCGCTCCAAACGATCTCCGTGACGAAAATCAGTCCCCTAAACCCTAAACCCCAAATCTCAGAATCAGAGCCCCGGCTCTGCCCTTTTCAGCCATCGTTTAGGGTTTGGGGTTTAGGGTTTAGGGTTTAGGGTTTAGGGCTTAGGGTTTAGGGTTTAGGGTTTACGTTTAGGGAAGGTCGTGGGGGGCTTTGTTGGCATCTATCATTCAGGCCTCGGGGCCAGGATTCGGGGCTTGGAACTCTGGCTTTGCCCGGCTGTCAACGGCTTGTAAGCTTGGCTTATGGGGTCAAAGCTTCCCTAAACCCCTGAACCCTAAACCCCCAAACCCCCAAACCCCCAAACCCCTCAACCCCTCAACCCCTCAACCCCTCAACCCCTCAACCCCTAGACCCCTCAACCCCTAAACCCCTAAACCCCACAAACCACAAACCACAAACCCTAAACCCTAAACCCTAAACCCTAAACCCTAAACCCTAAACCCTAAACCCCCCTAAACCCTGAACGATGGTTGCTGTTCAGATCTTGAAGGCGCTCTGCACCTCGAGGAGCCCTCAGCCTTGCGGCAGCATGCCACGGACTGGGTCTTCTCTCCCGACTGCCCCTATAAGGGGTTAAGGGATTAGGGTTAGGGTTTAGGGTTTAGGGTTTAGGGTTTAGGGTTTAGGGTTTAGGGTTTAGGGTTTAGGGTTTAGGGTTTAGGGTTTAGGGTTTAGGGTTTAGGGTTTAGGGTTTAGGGTTTAGGATTTAGGGTTTAGGGTTTAGGGTTTAGGGTTTAGGGTTTAGGGTTTAGGGCTCTAGGGTCTTAGGCGTCTTAGGGGTCTTAGGCGTCTTAGGGTCTTAGGCGTCTAGGGTTTAGGGTTCTAGGGTTCTAGGGTTCTAGGGTTCTAGGGTTCTAAGGGTTCTAGGGTTCTAGGGTTCTAGGGTTTAGGGTTTAGGGTTCCGGGTTTAGGGTTTAGGTTTAGGCTTTAGGCTTTAGGGTTTAGGGGTTAGGGCTAGGGTTGAGCGGAGATAGGGTGGAGCCCCGCAGTTAGGCTTACCACTTTAAATGTTTCCGACCGGGGACCCTAGAACTCAGCATGCCGCAGTGTTCAAGTTGCTCGCCCACCAACATGATGGGGGGGCACGAAAGTGGCCGCAGTTCGAGTTCTGGACCACAGCAACGACTTTTCAAAAATATAAGAATATATCATTAAAGCATCATACTCGTACGTTCTATTTTGTCTCCTACATGGTTGTATTACACCTTTCAACTCAGTTTCCATGACTCCAGAAGCCTTGGCACATCCTCCAGGCCCACATCTGTCAGTGCGTCGGGCGTCCGAAGTGAGGGTGGCATCGTGGGCTGCAAAACTCTGAAAGCCCTGCCGAGACTTTCGGAGAGGGCTTTTTGGAGACGACAGGAGTCTTTTGGCAGACACGTCCTTGTACGTTTTGTGCCCCACCGGTGCCCTCAAACCCACCATAAGCCACAAACCCTGAATGTTTTCGTGTTATGCGATTCGATTCCTGGGGTCATTGTACTGTTTACAAAATTGGAGGGTTTTTACCGATAGTATATTGATATCGTATTGTACTAAAGCTCGATGCTAAATCAAGTGAAATCGTTCGTGGTCAGGCCTACCTAGACCTGCACTCTGAAAAATCGACATTCTTGTCAGTCTTGGGCACACTATGGCACACTCATGGCTAGGCTAGGTCGTTAGCATGTGCTGCTTGAACTTGCTTTTTACCAAGGCACGCAAGGCACGCATTAGGTGCGTCGAACACACGTGTCCACTGGAAGAGGTGATGCACCTCCTCTCTCGAGTCTCACACATGAAGCAGGAGGGATCTTTGGCAGCTCTAGCACGATCCCAACTGAGATCTCTTGATACTCTGCGACTGGGCATACGCCCTGTCCTCAGGTTAAGGCCTGTTACAGGTCCTATCTTCGCCAAAATGCACGAAACCACATTCTAAAAAGAGTAAGGTTCTCGGAACATATCAAAGCTCTGCCGCGGCCCTCTTCAAGACCTTAAAGATACTTCTGCGTCATCTCATCGTCTGACTCCAAGTTTGCCAGTGACTGATCTTGCGAGGAGCCTTCTGCTTTGGAGGGCTCCGCGATCTCCTTCTCGGAGAGCTCCGTGATCTCGCCCAGATGGGCCGCGCCTGTCTTGCGTTGCGAGACGCGACTCTCTGCATCGGGCACGACCTCTGTGGCGAGGAGGCTCATGCACTTCATCAACAACCTGACGTCGTACACAGCCAAACAGGCGATGCTGTTGCACATGGTCTCTTGGTCCATTTGCGCAAGTTCAAGCGCAATCGCTCGCAACTCCGTGGCCAGTGGCTGGCTCAGAGGCAAGGTTTGCAGGTTGAAGCAGCAAACTTCTCGCTGGCCGCCCAGAGCGCGGTAGCACAGCCCGCTGGCTGTCGCCAGCAAAAGCAGGATCATCGTCATGCCCAAGCTTGCCCACATGACGACGGAGACTGTATCTACGAAGTCCCGCATCGAAACGTCCAGCACACCCAGGTGGAGGGCGGATGCTGCCACGAGCATCAACATGCTTAGCGACAACAGGCCGTCCGCCAGATTCAACAGGGGAAGCTTCCAGGGCCGGGCCCATGATACAAGGGTCACAAAAGCAGCCAGGGTCATGGTCAGAGAAATCACTTGACTGGGGGGATGGTCTGTGGTAAGGACGATCGTCAGGGACAGCAGGGGGCCTCGCAGCAGCATCGGAACCTGATACCAAGAGCTTTCCAATCGGAACTGGTCAACGAGGAACTGGGCGGAATCTAGGCGGTGCTGCTCATTGCGAGCAGCCCATCTTGGGGCAGCGTTCACAATGTAGATACAGACCGAGATGAAGCCCACAACCCCAACCAACAGCAACAGGACGCCAACTGCGAGCATCGCCTGGGCTGATGGGCTTAGGGTTGAGGGTTTAGGGTTCAGGGTTTCGGGTTTAGGGTTTAGGGTTTAGGGGCTAGGTTAGGTCTGGGTGATAAAGGCAGGCAGGATAGGAGTCCACTAAACAAAGACGTACCGAGACCTAAGATGAATGATCATGACACGCGAGAGGGGTCTGGCTTTGAGAATCTGAGCATGTGGCGGTAGGATGCTATTTTCCTTTCTGTGGGCATTTTCTTGTTGCAGGTGCGAGGCGTGCGTTACTTTTTTCCTGTGGGTGCGGGGACGGATTTCGCTTTCTTGCGGCAGGTGCTGAGGCTGGAGTTTAGGGTTTAGAGCTTAGGGTCTCGAGCTTAGGGGTTGAGGGTTTAGACTGAGGGTTGAGGGCTCAGTTTAAGGGCTTAGGGTTTAGGGCTTGCTTTTAGAGGTTTTGGGGCTTGTAGTCTCTCGAAGCAGACCAGGTCGCCAGCCCAGGAAACAAGTTTCAGGTTCGAGGGTTTAGAGTTTCCCTAAGCCCTAAACCCTAAACCCCAAACCCCAAACCCTTTAGAGTTTAGAGAGGGTCTCCACACCAGCAGCTTCGACCCAATTGCCCCGAGTATTTATGGTGCAGTGTCGCCCATCCCCCCCCCCCCCCCGAAGGTATCCCCCGGCCCCACTCGGGATTTAGGGTTTCAGGGTGTGGGGCTTAGGGTCACGGAGCTTTTGGGTTTGAGGATGTTAGAGTTGAGGGTTTTCAAGGTTTTGTGGGTTTTGCGTAGGGCTTTAAAGGGCTGAAATGGTTTTAAGGGTTTGTTTGGGGTTGCAGGCTTTTTGGGTTTTGGCATAGGGTTTTAAAAGGGTTTGGGGTCAAGGGCATAGGGTTTTAAAAGGGTTTAGCCTTGCGCGAGGGTTTTGGATTTAGGTGCAGAGGGGGGGACTGCTGACACAGCGACACGGAACCATTTACTCCAGGATTCAAGCAAAAAAAAGCACAGACAACGCAAAAAGGCACAGACCCTAAACCCTAAACCCTAAACCCGTAACCCCTAACCGCTTGCTGGTCGAGCTCGCAGGCTAAGCGACAAAAAGAAAATACCCCTAAACCCTAGAGAGACAAGTGCGTCAACTGGGGAAGACGGAACTGGGAGTCACAAGAGGCACGTTGAGACAGGGAGGTGCCTTTTGGGGTCTTGAAGCGGACTTTGGGCTTAAGGGTCTATAGGGTTTTGGGCTTTAGGGTTTAGGGTGCAGGGCCATAGCCATGGTTGCAGCAACACTGGGTGCCCGGCTGCATGCTCACCAGAGCCGCAGAAGACACCCGGGTACTGCAGCACGGAGTAGGTTCCATTCGGGTGGCGATAGCACGTCAAAGGCACCAGGGAAATCGCGCTCATTGTCTCGAAGCCGGTTTGAAGCACCTTGCCCACCATATTCCTGGTCTTGTGGGTCGTCCACCGATACTTCCATGGCAGAGTCTTTGACACAAAGTGGCACAGCGCGAGCCAACAAACAGCCGATGGGAAGAATGAGGCGGAAAGAAAATAGTGGACTAAGGACTCGTTGCCAATAAGACAACCCAGCGCCAGGTTCTCCAAGTTCAATACAACGATTTCTCGCAGTCCAACAATGCCCTGGAGCTGCGCAGGTACTTTGACGGTCATCATGCTCACGACACCAAGTGTTTGCACCATGGATGCCGTAATGGAGAAAGCTGACGTTGTTGCATACGCAGGCGTGGCCTTGTTGGTTCTTGATGACATCTTCGCCATCGCATAGTACGCAAGCGATAGAAGCATGAAAGCGAGCAGAATGCCCAGGACCCACCCACCGCGCATCCAAGCTGAGCATCGCTGGCTGTGCGTGCCAGTCCAAAAGTGGCCATCTGGGCACGTAGTACACGCCACGCTCCCCAACGTGTCAGTGCAAGTGCCTGGTGGGCCGCCGGGACAGCGATCTGTGTCCTTGCAGCGGAAGACTTCCAGCGGCTTCTGCCTTGTGCTGTAACAGCCAGGCGTGATCTGCGGTAGAAAATCCTCGCCCAAAGCTGTGGAGCCTGCCAGGAGGTCAGAGAGCTTGGAGAGTGCAGGGCACTCGAGACCTTCGCTGCACTCTGCGCAGCTCAAGCTGCTGGGGCCCACGTCGATGTAGCCTGGCAAGCAGCCGCAGTCCGAGTATGATTGTGAGCCCAAGCCGAGTGTGGATGAGCGAGCAGGGCATCTGACACAACTGCTTGAGCCTTTCTGGTTCTGGTACTCCCCAATGGGGCATCGCACGCAGCTCTCGGTGCCGGAATTGTTTTGGAACTCGCCCAACGGGCAAGGCTCGCAGAATTCTGCGGCTCCTGACGGCTGGCTGGTACCAGGCTGGCACGGGAGGCAAACATGCGTAGTGCCACTTGCGTCATCCAGTCGCGAGGAATAGCTCCCGGAGCGGCATGGCTTGCACTCCAGGAGAACCGGGTTGCTTCGGTCGAGCACAAAGTCCATGGAGCCAGCACTGTAAAGGCCGAATCCCGCGAAGCACCGGCTTTTGTCTGGAGCCCAACTCTCCCAAGATCCTGGATTCTGCTGGAGCCAACGACAGGCTACTGCCTCGTAGCTGTCGCCCGCCTGAACCTGCTGCAGCATGTCGTTCACGTCCTGTATGCTGAGTCGCATGTTCTCCACCAACTCCACCTGAATCCAAAAAATTTGCTGCTAGACGGGGCAGGAAATCAACTTAAGCTGCACACTTAACTCGCTTGACTACCAGCCGCTCTACATGCTCTACCAACAACTCCCCCAGTGGGGCCGGAAGTGCCAGCCCAGCCGCGATGTCAGGTGCAAGATCTGACAGGTCCTGGCTGACGAGCTTTGACAGCCTATTTGAAGCGGGGCTTGTCCGCTTGTCTCCAGCTTGCCAAGCGTTGAAGTCAAAATCTGGGAACGCGACTGCGACCGGCATCATGTCCACGAACGTCACGTCCGGCGTCCACCAGAAAAAGACACTGTTTGTCTGGCGCAGCAGGACCTCGTACACTTTGGCGGATCCCAATGCTAGAGGCATGCTAAACGACGTGGCTTTCACCATGACCTCATCCATGCGCCAGCCTGAGCCGCCAGTGAGGTATGGCACGCACGTGGAGTTGGCCGCCCTACACTTTGGGGCCAGCCAGAAATGCCCGTCTGCACACATTGCAACGAGATTCCCGTTCGGAAGCCTCTCAACTCCGGCTTCATCGCCTGTAACCCGTAGGTAGTCTTCCATTCGAGATGTCATCATGAGCAGCGAGTTAGAGCAGAGATCAACTTGGTTCCGGTCAATCGAGGCAAGGCTGTCAAAGTACTTGCTTGGCTGGTGCCAAGAAGCGTTCCACCCCCGATAAAATTCCAGTGCGACGCCGTCCTGGTTGAAGGCCTGTTCTTGGGTCTCCCTGCGAATGAAATGGCCTACCTGGCCAATGTAGCCCATGAAGTCAATCTCCACCGGTGCTAACGTCGGGCGTTCCAGTTGGAGCTGAAGGTATTCTGTACGGTAAGTGTCAGCCCAGTACTCCACTGCAAGATGATGCAAGGTAGGGCTCGGGCCACACCCTCGGTCGCTCTCGTTCTTCGGCTGCGAGCAGCCTGCCAGGGCATAGAGAGCGTCGGCAACGGCCGGCGAGCCAGAGTAGTTCGCGTGGTAGCCCATTCGCTCTTCGATGATGATGCGAATGATGCTGGCCTCAGATGGAATCAACCCTGGGCCACGGAGAAAACAAGGCTGACGCTCAACAGGCTTAACACTTCACACTTCCCTCTTAGTCGACCCCGCAAAAACTGACAAGCTATGTTTGGCCGACAGCTGAGTGTCCGTGATGTAGCCAGAAGCCCACTCTCCAATCCAAACACCCACGGGGTAGGGCGTCCCGTCTTTCTCTGAAAGATGCCTCCTCTGACTTTCAGGGATGGCATCCGGCAAGCATGCCGCTCGAACCTTCTTGGGAAAGACCCAGGCAAGGCAAGCAAGGGCGATGATGTTTGGAAGGAATTTGGCCATGGACCATGAGCCTCGGTGGAGGCTTTGCCTGCAGCGAGTCTAAGGAGCCGTCGGCCGTTTTGACCGAGCAACGTGACAAGCTGAAGCCGCTGGTAGCCACAACCATGAACATGCGTGCACATGCATGAAGATGCACCGGCTCAGCTGCAATCTCTCTTTGCTCTCCACAAGCCCTGAAGATCCCTCGAAGCTTCCGACGGAAACCGCTTGAAGCACTCCATCCCTAGCAGCCCTAGCACTCAAACCAAGACAAAAAAGCAAAAATGAAGAGGCGAACGAGATCTGAATGCCGCATCAGTGCGCGCCACACGCATGCAATCCCCAGTCGGAAAATATCCATGCTGAAGCCCAGACACCCGTCTCACATGCCTAGAAGATTGGGGGTTGTTGGCCTTGAAGACAGTGATTCCTCCTTTTCGGGCTGTGGGTTTTGGGGATGTGTTCAGAAACCTTCGAAGGGGCTCAACGGCAACCCTCTTACTTGGCTGCTAGATACGAGGCAAGGATGGAATTCCAGGAGTGGGGTTGGGGATTCCCAGGAATCGCTGATTCACCCGAGGGCACGCCATCAAGAGTGTTTAAGGGGTCTTCTTTTTAGGGGGAAAGGGGGGGGCGGGGGAAGGGAGGGAATACACGTTTTCAAGCAGTGTGTCTGGCCCACTTCATGAACTCAGGCGCCCGGCCTGGCGCCGCAGCTTGAAATGCCAGCAGCCGGCCTGCCGTGGGCTTTTTGTCTACCGAAACACTGAGCACACTATCTTGCCCCCAACTCCACAAACCCCTTGGGCAGTGAAGTCCTTTGGTCCCATAACCCCCCATGTGCTTCAAGGGTCCATGGCAGCCCCTCTGACCTACTGCTCCCATCCCAAAAACATCCCCCCCAACCATCCCCACATTCCCCTCACTCCCCTCGCCCCGAAAAAGGTTGTGTTTACGCTGTACGCCCTTTATAAGTTGTCTGTATTTCAAAGGGGTGGGCCCTGAGGCGCCGCCCCTTGTTACATGATTGCTTCTTGGACTTGCAGACCCTTATAACATCCCTGATAACTGACCCTTTCGTCTTCACGCCAGATATATCTCACAACCCTTCCGAGACTTCGTGAGGACTTTCGGCTGGACAAGTCTTTTGGGGCAAACGCATCGTGTATGTCTTGTGCCCGCTCGTGCCCTTGCGAAGCACCGTGTAGCCACCCACAAACCCTGAAGCTCGAAGCTAGATCCTTCGTGGTCAAGCCTACCTAAACTTCGAGAAATTAAAGTCAGCTAGGGATCCCGTTCTTGTCAGTCTTGGGCACACTCATGGCTACACAAATCCATGCTGCTTCAGCTCGGTCATTAGCACATGCTGCCTGAACTTTTCTCTGCCAGGCACACATTGTGTCAAACACACGTGTCCACTGGAAGAGGTGATTCACCTCCTCCGCAGAGCCTCACGCATTCAAGGAGGAGGGATCTTTAGAAGCTCTAGTACGACCCCAACTGAGATCTCTTGATGTGCTGCGACTGGGCACACGCCCGGTCCTCAGGTTAAGGCCTGTTACAGGCCCCTACATACGCCAAGTGCACAAAACCACATTCCAAAAAAAATAAGGGGAGCTCTCTGCCCCCTCTTCAAGACCTCAAAAATATGTCTGCGTCATCTCATCATCTTCTGACTCGAACTTTGCCAGTGACTGATCTCGCGAGGAGCCTTCTGCTTTGGAGGGCTCCGCGATCTCCTTTTCGGAGAGCTCCGCGATCTCGGCCAGATGGGCCGTGCATGTCTTGCGTTGCGAGATGCGACTCTCTGCATCGGGCACGACCTCTGTGGCGAGGAGGCTCATGCACTTCATCAACAACCTGACGTCGTACACAGCCAAACAGGCGATGCTGTTGCACATGGTCTCTTGGTCCATTTGCGCAAGTTCAAGCGCAATCGCTCGCAACTCCGTGGCCAGTGGCTGGCTCAGAGGCAAGGTTTGCAGGTTGAAGCAGCAAACTTCTCGCTGGCCGCCCAGAGCGCGGTAGCACAGCCCGCTGGCTGTCGCCAGCAAAAGCAGGATCATCGTCATGCCCAAGCTTGCCCACATGACGACGGAGACTGTATCTACGAAGTCCGTCGGCGAGTAGTCCAACACCTCCGCGTCGAAGGCAGATGCTGCCACGAGCATCAACATGTTGAGCGACAATAAGCTGTCCCCCACATTCAACAGGGGAAGCTTCCACGGCCGAACCCATGATACAAGTGCCACAAAGGCAGCCAAAATCATAGTCAGAACTGTCACTTGCTTGGGGGGATGGTCTGTAGCCATGACGATCGTCAAGGACAGCAGGGGGCCTCGCAGCAGCATCGGAACCTGATACCAAGAGCTTTCTGATCGGAAGCGGCCCACGAGGAACTGGGCGGGATCTAGGCGGTGCTGCTCATTGCAAGCAGCCCATCTCGGGGCGGCGGTCACAATGTAGATACAGACCGAGACAAAGCCCACAACCCCAACCAACAGCAACAGGACGCCACCTGCGAGCATCACCTGGGCCGATGACAGGCAGACCCCGCTCAAATGAGACATGCCGAGACAGAGGATGAAACATCATTTTTCCCTTCCCTGCGAGCATCACCTGGGCCGATGACAGGCAGACCCCGCTCAAATGAGACATGCCGAGACAGAGGATGAAACATCATTTTTCCCTTCCAGAAGCTGTGGTGCGCCAGTCGTCACCACAACCCTGAACCTAAAATCCACCACCCAATCCTCCTCCCCTCCTCCTCCCCTCCTCCTCCTCCTCCCCCCTCCTCCCCTCCTCCTCCTCCCTCCTCCCTCCTCCCCCTAACTCCTCCCTCCTCCTCCCTCCTCCTCCTCCTCCTCACCCCCTCCTCCCCCTCCTCCTCCCCTCCTCCTCCCCTCCTCCTCCCCTCCCCCTTGAGTGCCATTGCCATGGTTGCAACATTTTTGCCCTGGGGTGCCCGGCTGCGTGCCCACCAGAGCCACAAAAGACACCCGGGTACTGCAGTACGGAGTAGGTCCCATTCGGGTGGCGATAGCAGGTCAAAGGCACCAGGGAAATCGCGCTCATTGTTTCGAAGCCGGTTTGAAGCACCTTGCCCGCCATATTCCTGGTCATATGAGTCGTCCACCGAAACTTCAATGGGAGAGTCTTTGACACAAAGTGGCACAGCGCGAGCCAACAAACAGCCGATGGGAAGAATGAGGCCGAAAGAAGATAGTGGACGAAGGGCTCGCTGCCAATAAGACAGTCCAGCGCCAAGTTCTCGAGCTTTAATACACTGCTCTGGAGCGGCGAAGGGACTTTGACTCTCATCATGTTCACGACACCAAGCGTTTGCGCCATAGACACTGAAATGGAGAAAGCTGAAGTTGTCGCATACACAGCTGCGGCCTTGTCGCTTTTTGACGGCATCTTCGACATCTTCGCCATCTCATAGTACACAAGCGATAGAAGCAAGAAAGCGAGCAGAATGCCCAGGACCCACGCAGTCCGCATCCAAGCTGAGCATCGCTTGCATTGCGCGCCACTCCAGAAGTGGCCATCAGGGCACGTAGTACACGCCACGCTCCCCAACGTGTCCGTGCAAGTGCCTGGTGGGCCGCCGGGGCAGCGATCTGCGTCCTTGCAGCGGAAGACCTCCAGTGGCTTCTGCCTTGTGCTGTAACAGCCAGGCATGATCTGAGGTAGAAAATCCTCGCCCAAAGCTGTGGAGCCTGCCAGGAGGTCAGAGAGCTTGGAGAGTGCAGGGCACTCGAGACCTTCGCTGCACTCTGCGCAGCTCAAGCTGCTGGGGCCCACGTCGATGTAGCCTTGCAAGCAGCCGCAGTCCGAGTATGATTGTGAGCCCAAGCCCAATGTGGATGAGCGAGCCGGGCATCTGACACAACTGCTTGAGCCTTTCTGGTTCTGGTACTCCCCAATGGGGCATCGCACGCAGCTCTCGGTGCCGGAATTGTTTTGGAACTCGCCCAACGGGCAAGGCTCGCAGAATTCTGCGGCTCCTGACGGCTGGCTGGTACCAGGCTGGCACGGGAGGCAAACATGCGTAGTGCCACTTGCGTCATCCAGTCGCGAGGAATAGCTCCCGGAGCGGCATGGCTTGCACTCCAGGAGAACCGGGCTGCTTCGGTCGAGCACAAAGTCCATGGAGCCAGCACTGTAAAGGCCGAATCCCGCGAAGCACCGGCTTTTGTCTGGAGCCCAACTCTCCCAAGATCCTGGATTCTGCTGGAGCCAACGACAGGCTACTGCCTCGTAGCTGTCGCCCGCCTGAACCTGCTGCAGCATGTCGTTCACGTCCTGTATGCTGAGTCGCATGTTCTCCACCAACTCCACCTGAATCCAAAAAAATTTGCTGCTAGACAGGGCAGGAAATGAACTTAAGCTGCACACTTAACTCGCTTGACTACCAGCCGCTCTACATGCTCTACCTCTACCAACAACTCCCCCAGTGGGGCCGGAAGTGCCAGCCCAGCCGCGATGTCAGGCGCAAGATGTGACAGGTCCTGGCTGACGAGCTTTGACAGCCTGTTTGAAGCGGGGCTTGTCCGCTTATCTCCAGCGTGCCAAGCGTTGAAGTCAAAATCTGGGAACGCGACCGCGACCGGCATCATGTCCACGAAGGTCACGTCCGGCGTCCACCAGTAAAAAAGGCTGTTTGTCTGGCGGAGTAAAGTCTCATACACTTTGGCGGATCCCAGCGCCAGAGGCATGTTAAATGACGTGGCTTTCACCATGACCTCGTCAATGCCCCAGCCTGAATGGCCAGTGAGATACGGCACGCACGTGGACACAGCTGCCCTACATTTTGGGGCCAGCCAAAAATGCCCGTCTGGGCAAATTGCAACGAGATTCCCGTTCGGGAGCCTCTCAACTCCAGCTTCATCACCTGTAATCCGTAGGTATTCTTCCATTCGAGACGTCAGCATGATCACCGTGTTAGAGCAGAGATCAACTTGGTTCCGGTCAATCGAAGCAAGGCTGTCAAAGTACTTGCTTGGCTGGTACCAAGAAGCATTCCACCCCCGGTAGAATTCCAGCGCGACGCCGTCCTCGTTGAGGGCCTGTTCTTGGGTCTCCCTGCGAATGAAATGGCCTACCAGGCCAAAGTAGCCCATGAAACCAAGCTCCACTGGTGCTAACGTCGGGCGTTCCAGTTGGAGCTGAAGGTATTCTGTACGGTAACTGTCAGCCCAGTACTCCACTGCAAGATGATGCAAGGTGGTGCTTGGGCCACACCCTCGGTCGGTCTCGTTCTTCGGCTGGGAGCAGCCTGCCAGGGCATAGAGAGCGTCGGCAACGGCCGGCGAGCCAGAGTAGCTCGCATGGTAGCCCATTCGCTCTTCGATGATGATGCGAATGATGCTGGCCTCAGGTAGAATCAACCCTTGGCCACGGAGCAAACAAGGCTGACGCTTACCACTTCCCTCTCAATCGACCCTGCAAAAACTGAAAAGTTCTGTTTGACGGCTGAGTGTCCGTGATGTAGCCAGAAGCCCACTCTCCAATCCAAACACCCACGGGGTAAGGCGTCCCGTCTTTCGCTGCAAGATGTCTCCTCTGAGCTTCAGGGATGGCATCCGGCAAGCATGCCGCTCGAACCTCCTTGGGAAAGACCCAGGCAAGGCAAGCAAGGGCGAAGATGTTTGGAAGCACTTTGGACATGAACCATGAGCCTCGTTGGAGGCTTTGCCTGCAGCGAGTCTAAGGAACTGTCGGCCGTTTTGGCCGAGCAACGTGACAATCTTAAGCCACCTATGCCACAACCGCATGCAGGAACATGCATGAAAATGCACTCGCCCTCCGGCTGCGATCCCGCTTTGCTTCGGCCCTCCACACGTGATCCCGCGCCTGCGCCCGCAAAGGTCAGTGGCAGACCATCAGACCACTCCAGCCGGGTCCTGACGAGACCACAACAAGTCCAAAGGATAAGACATGCAGTGCCTTGAGACTCCTCAAGACGTCAAACGTCGCCACACTCCTCTCAATACTGTGTAAAAAACACCTCGGGGTGGTACCTCTCAAAAAGTCGCTGGCACTTTGGGAGCTACTTTAAAACCGCCAAACACCGAAAATGGGAAGATGAACTTCAAAAGGCTGTCAACAACCTTCTATCAAGCACACTGTTGACCCGTTTGTAAGTGTCTATATGTATTTCTGCAAAAAAAAAACATACTCAATATACATATACACCCGACCGACAAACCCACGCTCAACCCTGACCACTTCCAGGTAAAACATGGCGGACATGCTGGGTATCTCTACAACCATCGGTGGGACCTTGGAGTGCCGAGGCAACCTTTACTAGGGAAAGCCGGTGTCCCAATATGTTGCACTCGTCCCTCTCTGAGCCATGTACACTTCAAGGCAAACTAGCAACATCTTTAAACATGACTTTTCAAGGGACTATCATGGTACCTACAAAAATCTGAGGGTTTTTCTCTACTTTGCTATCAACCTGACCACAAGTCTCATGCAATTGCTTGTCTGATCATGCTTGCATTCACATAGCGTGCACTCATTCTTTCACGTAGGCCCCTGCTTGAAACATGCCAGTTCCGAAAATATCCCGCAAAAAACAGATTTCCCCCCTTTGATGTCATTGCCCTATTGAAGCCTAAGCCTCCTGCAGTCGAAGAATGAACTCTATGACGTTACATCCAGGCCTGGTGGCACAAAGCACTTGTTAAAACGGTATACTGCGATTCTGTGACGCGCTGGGAAACCTGACCTGGTTGACTGCTTGACTTCCATCCCTACACGCTCAACCTTGATCTCCAAACCCACGTTGCACCAACAGGCCCCTCTTCTGCAAAAAAAGAGGTGCCCTCCAATTTGCCTTGGGCTTAGGGCAGTTTAGGGAAACACGAAACAGACCACGCTTGCAACAGGACAGGAATAAACTTGCAGCACCAAGCGCAGGGAAGCATCATTGACTCTAGATGATGTTCCAGGCGCTGTCTGGTTGACTCGGAGCCCGAATACGGAACGGCCCCTGGCTGTCTTGCGTTGGACAACTGCAACAAAATCAAGGGCATACATCTTGCAGCACACGGACGCCGCAGTACGCTAAGTGGTCATGTCATGGTCATTTTCACACAACCTTGTGCACATCGAGGACGCGTCAACGTTGCGCAACAAGTGGCCGGCAGGGTCAAGCTTACACACGGCACCGGCATTATTGTGCGATCGATTGCCTTCATTCTGCCATGAGGGCCACAGGTTTCGAGCACAAGTGCAATGATCCTCCATGCAGGATTGGAACAACCGTTGAATGTAAGCACTTTCGCATGTCTTGAAGCTCACAGCAGAACTTGCGACGAGATAAACGTGCTTTGGCCTCTCGGCAGCTTTGCTGCAGACGTCAGCCGAACCTTCAAATTGTGAAAACCTGTCTGCCAGCTTCCTCTGAACTCGTCTTAGCTGATTTGCCACTTGGCCAAGCCAATCATGAAGGCCTATGCTCTCTAAACGGCTTCCAACCACATGACAAACTTGTTCAGCACCGTCGAAAGGAGAGGAGGAAGCAATGAGAGAACCACAACCAGGATGGGCAGTGCAAGCAAGGAAGTGGTGAACATTCGCTCAAACATGGAGTCAAATGAGATGATGCAGCAGAATTATGAAACTGGTCTTGCGAGAACAAAACACGCAGTCCGACTGGGGCTGAGGTATTGGTAAAGTTGATACAAGCGTTCTCCAACTTGCGGACCACCCGTGCGGACTCCTAGAAGGAAGAATGCCAATAAAGTAGTAAAAGGGAGAGATACAATGGGAACCATCTGCAGAGGGGTCTAGGGTTTTAAGTTGACTGTCTGACCTCTCGCCTTAAACCAAGTTGTTCCCCAGCTCAGAGCAGGGCAGGTGGGCAATGTGCGTTATTTTGTGATCCCTGGTGCGCTATGAACAATGGCCCTCAATCCCTTGAAAAGTTCAGTTCCTGTTCGAAAGTTAACTTGAAACAAATGTAACCCGGCAGGGAGCAGGTCCGGAACAAGCGGCGAACGCTCAGCGAAAGAGCCTCGCGCCGCCAGCCTGTCGAGGCAAGGTGCATGATAGTACCCGATGTTTGTGCCCCTTGCCTTGTGCGCGAAAATTATTATCGGAGTACAACGCTAAACCCGAAACCTCAACCCCAAACCCCAAACCCTAAGCTCCGTCCCATCTTTGCTAGACGCAGGGATCAGCGCGCACCACTTCATCTTGATCAGCTGCTCGTGACGGAGGACCGTCATTCCACGTGTCGTCAGCATTGGATGTCGAATGCTGAAGATTGCTAAAGTTAACTTGTAGTTCCTGGCATGTGATGCAACCCCGAGATGTTCTATATCTTCTTCGTAGTGCAGGCAGTTCTCTGACTGCTCCCTGGCTTTGGTGCCCTGATGATAAGCGGCTGTGATTTGCAGCACTAGTGGCTTGATTCCTATGCACCCTGTTTTAGCAGAGGAAGTAAGCTCCCATTGTCCACTGTCGACAGGTCCTTCTGACTGTGGTAGGTTCCTTAAGCCGCTGCTGGATCCAGGCCTACCATGAGGCCTTAATGGTGTCAAAGCGACAAAGCGCACAGCTTGAAAAATCACTCTTCTCTTTCTTGCATGATAAAGATTTTGAGAACATGCTGTCTTACACGCCATTGAAGCTTCTCTATCATTCTGCCTAGAATACTGCCAAGGGCTCCAGCCCAAAGCATGACAAGGGTTGAAGCATGCTGGCGAGGACACCCATCCGCTTCTGAGTGGTTACACACGACCCATGCTGTGCGCCACAAATGTTGTCTTCAAAGCACATGAGATTTGCCTTGCTGCCTCTGGCCACAGAAGTATGAGAGCCTCGCGTATGTTCCTCAAAGCCTGCGTCGCTGTGCAGGAGAGTTGTCGTTCGTGACCTTGTCGGAGCTCTGGTACATGGATGTGTTGTTGCAAGTGCCGTCAATGAGCCTGTGTTGGATGAGCCTGGGATTTGGACCTCGGTTGGTCTTCCATGCAGCTGTCGTTGTCATCCTCCATTTGCTGCTGCGGCGAAGGCTCAGAAACACCATGCGCTTCCACGTTGCTAGCTACTTGACCCTAAGCTTCATCAGCGTTTTCTTTGCATGCCGTGCAGTCGACCTAAGCCTGGGACACAAGGAGTGGGAGGAAGGGCGACAGAGGACATCGCTATCATGGCAGCCATCGGCTATGCTGCTCTAACTTTTAGCCCCATGCTTGTCGCCATTCTGATCGGGCAGCAGCGACTCTTCCACCGGCTCGCTGCGTGGCTGACCGCTCCCGTGGTCGTCGACTGCAAGATGGAGCCTTCATGGCGATGCTGTTAGACCAATACGTGGTGGAGTTGGGGCAACTTTGGTGGCTAACCAACCAAGAGATTCAAGAGGCGGCGGCCGCGCATCCGGAGCAGGTCCAAAAGGCAAGAGCGGCTTCAGGACTCCCTGATCACGAGGCACGTCCAGGCTTCAGGGTGGGCATCGTTGTCTTTGCGGCTGAAGACTCACCGAGCTTCTCCGTAGAGTACCAGCTGGATGAGCACACAGTTCAAGTTGTCCAGGTGCACCGTGGCCATGAGTTTTTGCCGTGGCCTGCCCTGCTCCAGATGGGTCGAAAGAATCTTCGATGTGTGGATTGGGCAGCCCTGAGCCCAGAAGTGTTAAAGGGATCAGGTGGGGGCAACATGAGTGACTTCGCTCTGTCACGATCTGTGAGGCGTGGTGAAATCATCGACTTTTTCGTTTCCCACTCTTCGTCAGACAGCCCAGCTCGAAAATGGAAAGCTTTTCAGCTTGTGGCAGAGGACTTCTACGAGAAGAACGGTCGGTATCCCACCTTTTGGATTGACAAATTTTGCATTAACCAAAAGCAAATCGCTGATGGCTTGCGGGTTCTCCCGGTGAATGTCATGTCGTGTCGGAAGATGCTGTGCCTGAGCGGGAAAACTTATCATGCCCGGCTTTGGTGCGCTTGGGAGCTCTGTGTTCCGCTGTCATTTATGTCAATGCAGATGGCAGTGAAGCAGATCGTTGTCGTTCCGCTTGTGGAATCTGCCTTGGTTGCTCTCACCGTTTTTGATTCGTCAGAAGCTCGCTGTTACGATCCGAATGAGGAACACCGTCTGCGCCGAGTGATTGAAGCAATTGGACAGCAGCGCTTTGAGATCAAGATCCGAGCTTTGGGGCAGTTGCTGCTCGACCGTCATGTGAACGGTGACAGCCTCTTCATGGCAACCGGCAGTGGCCTTGAGTTGGAGCCCGAGAGTGAGGTGGAAGCAAGACAATCTGGGACAGATGGCCTTACAGGTTCTACACGTCCTACAGGTGCTCCACGTCCTACCCCACCGACAGAGCAGGTGGACGGCGAGCCAATGATTCAAGTGATGTTCTGAAGTTTAGGGTTTAGGGTTTAGGGTTTAAGGCACGGTGTTGGGACAAAAATCAGTGCAAGTGCCGCAGCCTTGGAGCTGCTTGTTGGCTAGCGTCTCGAAGGGACACATGCCATTTTGGTGCCGCATCATTTGACCCCCTTAAGACCCCCCTTAAGCCCCCCTTAAGCCCCTTTAAGCCCCCGTTTAAGCCCCCGTTTAAGCCCCCTTTAAACCCCCCCTTAAAGCCCCCCTTTAAGCCCCCGTTTAAGCCCCCTTTAAAAACCCCCCTTAAAGCCCCCCTTTAAGCCCCCTTCAAGCCCTGAAAGCCCCCCCCTAAGGCATCCATGACCAACACTGATTGTCTTAAACGTCTTACAAATTTTGTCAATGCGCAGTGAGTTCGAACTTGAGTCGGGGCAATGCACAGTCAATTCCATCACTGTGGATGGGAGCTCACCAAAGGTATCCAAAGGTGATAAATCTCGTCACCTTGGCCTTGCCAAACCAATACACAGATTGCGTGGACAATTGCAGTGACATGTTGCATTGACAATATGTGTTTATATGTTATATAGCCGACTTTTATGATATGATATGATATGATATGATTGAATATTGTATGGCATGATAGGATATGATGTTTTCATACAAATTATGCACATGTGTTCATTTGATATTGCAGCACCACTGAGCCAGCATGGGCAAGTTCCGGACTTTGGTGCCGTCGGCTGTCACTGCTGAAGCAAGTCCAACCATATTAGGGCACTTGAGGGCTTATAAGTGGGTCAGAAGTACAGTTATACTTGGTTAATAAGTATGCAGGATCATGCAGGAATAGTGCCGTGCCCACAGCCGGTTGGTGTTGTTTGTGCAAGCTTTGCATGATTTCAGAATTGCAGATTCTCGTGATTGAGCTGAAACCTTAACATCTATCCTCATCTCTCTTTGTCTCTCTCTCTCTCTCTTTCTCTCTGTCTCTTTCTCTCTCTCTGTGTCTCTTCTTTCTTTCTTTCTTTCTTTCTCTCTCTCTCTCCCTCTCCCTCTCCCTCGCCCTCGCCCTCTCGCCCTCGCCCTCGCCCTCTCCCTCTCCCTCTCCCCCTCTCCCTCTCCCTCTCCCTCTCCCCCTCCCCCTCCCCCTCCCTCTCTCTCCCTCTCCCCCTCCCCCTCGCCCCTCCCTCTCCCCTCCCTCTCCCTCCCTCCCCCTCCTCCCTCTCCCTCTCCCTCTCCTCTCCCTCTCCCCTCTCTCCCTCTCCCCCCTCTCCCTCTCTCCCTCTCCCTCTCCCCTCTCCCTCTCCCTCCCCCTCTCCCTCGCCCTCTCCCTCTCCCTCTCCCTCTCCCTCCCCCGAACTTTCCCATACCTCACCACACTGTGCCGGATAAGAGACATCGTTTTTGTCCACATTGCGTCATCGCCCCACATGTTGCGGTGCATGAGCTTATTGCTGCGAGTTCGCAGAACACACCTACGTCCTGAACCCCCGATGACGGGTTTTTCATGTTATTTGTATTCATGCAGTTGTATTATCGTCATTGTTCCTGTACCTGTGATTGTTACGATTATGCTTCTTGCTGTGACTAATGCTATGATGATTGTGATTGTTGCTCTTCTTTCTTCTTCTTCTTCTTTCGGGTTCAGGGGGTTCTGCTGTCTCCGTTTTGACCCGCGGTGGCTGGCCCAAGCTCAATCACCTGAGGGCAGGATCATGGCGATTTGTGCAGATTTGCCGCTTAGCATATGAAGGCATGTGTGAAGGGCTTGAGTTGAGGGGAAGGGTGTGAGTTGACGGCCTAAAGAAAGGGGGTCGGAATAATTACATGTAGCTACAAATCCCCCCAAATCCACTTTTTGTCATTCTTCAGGCCCCTAGATTAGGCTTAGAGATCAGAGATCACGGTTCAGGGCTTTGGGGGCGAATCTTGCTCGCACAGTACCACCGGTGTGAGCCTGATTTTGCGTCCACCTTCAGATGGTGAGACCCCCTAAACTCTAAACCCTAAACCCTAAATCCTAAACCCTAAATCCTAAACCCTAAAGTGCAGATTCTGGCCTCATGCGTGTGCGGGTGCTGAGGCCGTGGACAGATTTCGAGGCAGGATCTGCAACTGGGAGAACCGGCTCTCGACTGAAAAGTTCGGGTACCTCTTGTGGTGCTTCTTATCATCAAGGATTCGAGCCTTGTTTCTTTCGGGCGTTTTGTTTTTTTTGGGGGGGGGGTTAAAGGTAGGGAAAGCCCAGCACAAGTCTTTTCCTCCAGCCTCCTATTGCGCAGTGCGCGCAGGCGCAGTCTGATCGCCGCCCGCCACTTCAAGGTGACTCCAACGTGCCCACGTGTTCAGACACATGCATCGGGAGTGGGGGCCTCAGGGCGTACAGGCTTCGTACCCTACCAAGCTTACCCTAAACCCTAAACCCTAAACCCTAAACTCCAAACCCCAAACCCCAAACCCTGAACCCTAAACCCTAAAGCCTGAAGCCTCAACGCCAAGACCCTAAACCCCACGCGCCAGAAGTTCCGCATGTTCAGCCCTCAACCACCCTGGCTGAACCCTTCCCAGGCCCTCCACCCTCAGCACTCTACTCGAAGCTGTAGACGTAAACACTGAAACCTTAAATCCTGCACCCTCAACCCTCAACCCTAAGCCCCAAACCCTCAACCCTAAACCTAACCCTAGGCCCTAAACCCTAAACCCTAGGCCCTAAACCCTAAACCCTAAACCCTAGGCCCTAAACCCTAAACCCTAAGCCCCAAAAACCCTAGACCCTAGACACTAAACCCCCTGAACCCTGAACCCCAGGTAGCGCCCGGTCTGTTTGCCTCGGCGCCGCCCTCCGTGCTCCCGGGAGTTATCCGTGGCCGGAGCCTCACCACACCAGAGGGGCTCAAATGAAGGGTTTAGGGTTTGGGGTTTAGGGTTTAGGGTTGAGGGTTGAGGGTTTAGGGTTTAGGGCTTGGGGTTTAGGGTTTGGGGTTTGGGATTTTGGGGTTTGAGGCTGGAAGTTCAGGGTAGACCCTAAACCCTTCAACCCTAAACCTGGGACTGGAGCTCACTTAGTGTTTTGTTGAGGCTAGGGTTGAGGTTTAGTGTTTAGGGTTTCGGGGATAGGAGTTAGGTTTAGGGTTTAGGGTTTAGGGTTTGGGGATTAGGGTTTTGGGTTTCGGGTTTCGGGTTTTGGGGTTAGGGTTGGTGTTTGGGGCTTAGGTTGTCGTAATCAAGGGAACGCCCGAACAAAGAACTCCATACTCCAAGCCCACTCGCCCCCCAAACCCTAAACCCTAAACCCTAAACCCTAAACCCTAAACCCTAAACCCTAAACCCTAAACCCTAAACCCTAAACCCTAAACCCTAAACCCTAAACCCTAAACCCTAAACCCTAAACCCTAAACCCTAAACCCTAAACCCTAACCTTAAACCCTAAACCCTAAACCCTAAACCCTAAACCCTAAACCCTAAACCCTAAACCCTAAACCCTAAACCCTAAACCCTAAACCTTAAACCCTAAACCCTAAACCCTAAACCCTAAACCCTAAACCCTAAACCCTAAACTGCCGAGAGCGCCGCTGTCCATATGCATGGGCGCTCGAGGCTTCGACCGAGGTCCCCGACCTCTAAACCCTAAACCCTAAACCCTAAACCCTACATGAGAATAGTTTGGGTGGTTGGGGTGGGACTACATGCTCACGCAAGCGAGCGGCCCGGGTGCTTTTAGCACCAGCGAGCTTCCCTTCTACACACCCTAAACCCCTGAACCCTGAACCCTAAACCCTAAACCAAAACGCTCAGCCCCGAAACCCTAAGCCACAAACCGGAAGGCTCACCAAGATCCCGACCTCGTACCAGGAGAGCTGTCGGTCGAACATCCGAGGGGGGGTTTAGGGTTTAGGGTTAGGGTTTTGGGGGTTTGGGGTTTAGGGTTTAGGGTTTAGGATTCCGGGTTTTAAGGGTTTAGGGTTCATAGTTGAGGGTTTAGAGTTCAGGGTTTTAGGGGCTTTTATGGATCAGAGGTGAGGGTTTAGGGTTTCAAGGGCTTAGGGTTCAGCGTTGAGGATTTTGGGGGGGGTTTCGGTCTAGGGTTCAGAGTTTATTGTTTTGGGGTTTTGGGTGTTTGGTGGGGTTCAGAGTGTAGGCTTTTTTGGTTTGTGGGAGGAGACTGCCCAGTAGGGCGGGCTGAGTCCTGAATTGGGTTTTCAAGCCATGAGTACCCAGCTGTCAGTCAGTTAAACCCTAAGCTCCCGAAGCCCCTTTAAGCCCCCTAGCCTAAACCTCCTATCCCCTCACCCCTAAACCAACCCAAACCTTAAACCCTAAACCAACCTAAGCCCCAAATCCTAAACCTGAACCCTAAATCCACCTAAACCCTAAGCCCTAAACCAACCTAAACCAAAACCTTAAACCCTAAACCTAAACCCTAATCCCTAAACCCCAAATCCGGACGCGAGGGCCGAGGGCCGGAGCCCAAACCCTAAACCTTGCTCTTTTCTTTCCTTTTTGGCCCCAAACCTTCTTTAGATGGTTCTTACAGGCCTTTAGGTTTTATGGGGTATATAAGGGGCCCGCAATGAAGGGCCCATACTCGGGGACCATGCAACTACCCTTAGATTTTCGGAAGCACTGACCCTCAGACTGTAACCAAAAACCATAAACCCTAATCCTGCAACTCTTTACAACCCCAAAGCCTATACCCTAAAACCCGACAAACCCTGAAAACCAAGCGGCAAGCTCGAAACCCCAAAACCCCAACGGTCTTCCTAAACCCCAACATGATATGCCTCCGGAGGTGGGGATGGAGCTGCTAAAACCTTGAGCCTAGAACCCTAAACCCCAAACCCTAAACCCGAAACCCTAAACCCTAAACCCTCTCTTGCCTATCAGTATTTAGACTGTAATGCAAGTCCGAGCAATCGGGCACCAACCCTCGTGCAATTCTGAACGGGCCTAGGGTTTGTGGCATGGGGTTTTGGCGGTTTAGGGCCCTGGAGTTTGGGGCATAGGGTTTAGGGCCCTAGAGCTTGGAATCAGGTTAGGGCCTGGGGTCGGGGCATAGGTTTTAGGCTTAAACCTTAAACCCTAAACCCTAAACCCTAAACCCTGAACCCTAAACCCTAAACATCCAGGAGGCGGAGAAGGAGAACTGGCAGCCTCCTTCGCAGGGCCTGGACGCGGAAGGAAAGAGCCTGTCATCCCGAAGTTCGAGGATCCCATGCTTGGGGCCTTAAACCCTAAACCCTCAACCCTAAACCCTAAACCCTAAACCCTAAACCCTAAACCTCAAACCCTAAACCCTAAACCCTAAACCCTAAACCTCAAACCCTAAACCCTAAACCCTATAAACCCCAAACCCAAAACAACACAAAGCCCTTCAACCCCCAAACCCTAGACCGTTTGCGGGTTCGGTGCTGAGAGGGTTGAGGGTTGAGGGTTCAGGTTTTAGGGTTTGAGTACAGGGTGTCGGGGATTACACTTTTTGTTTGTCAGGGGTCGTGGTTCAGGGTATTGGTTTGCGGGCCTAGGAGGGTTTAGGATGGTTTAGGGTGTATTGTTTAGGGTTGAGTGTCCAAGGTTCGGGTTTCGACCTGAGCCCTAAACCCTAAACCATAAACCCTAAACCCTAAACCCTAAACCCTAAACCGCTAAACCCCTAAACCCTAAACCCTAAACCCGAGTCCCCTTTCCAGGACTGTCATCGTCTTCGACTGGGATGACACGCTCTTCCCGCTGACCCATGCCCCTCGGCGGTTCACGCCCGGATCTGCAAGACGCCGCCCCTAAACCTAAACCCTAAACCCTAAACCCTCAACCCTCAATCCTCAACCCTCAATCCTCAACCCTCAACCCTCAACCCTAAACCCTAAACCCTCAACCCTAAAGCCCTAAACCCTACAACCCTAAACCCCACAAACGTAGGGTTTAGGGTTTGGGGTTAGAGGTTCAGAGGCGGCTGCCGGATCAACAAAATCTAAATAGAAAAGGACCAACAAGCAAATTCAAGGTTCAGGGTTTCGAGTAGGGTTTAGGGTTTAGGGGTTAGGGTTTAGGGTTTAGGGTTCAGGGTTTACGGTTTAGGGTTTACGGTTTAGGGTTTAAGGTTTAGGGTTTAGGGTTTAGGGTGTAGGGTTTAGGGGTAAGGGTTTCGGGTTCAGGGTTCTGGTTTAGGGTGTAGGTTTTCAGGTCTAGCGTTGAAGGTTTTAAGGTTTAGGGTTCAGGGTTTATTTTCTTATTGATCCCGATTATTTGTCTTCATTTTTTTTGCTTTTTTTCTCACTTATTTTTTGGTCCCTATCCCTTTAGTGTCGTAGGGTGGAGGGTTTAGGGGTTTAGGGTTTGGGGTTTAGGGGTTTAGGGTTTAGGATAAAGGGTTTAGGGTTTAGGTTTTAGGATTTAGGGTTTTGGGTTTAGGGTTCAGGGAGTCCTGGACTTAGGGTTTTGGTCCCTGGGCTGAGGGTTCTCAGAGGTCTTCCGAGATCTGCACATGGACGTGAGCAAGCGGCTGGAGGAACTGCCCGGTCTGCTGTTCCAAAAAGCAAACCCTGGACCCTAAACCCTAAACCCTAAACCCTAAACCCTAAATCCGAAACCCTAAGCCTTAAGCCAGCCCTAAACCCTAAACCCTAAACCCTAAACCCTAAACCCGAAAGCCTAAACCTTGAGCCCTAAACCCGAAATCCTAAACCTTAAGGCCTAAACCCGAAATCCAAAATCCTAGACCCCAACCCTCACGAACCTCTGAGGCCAAGGGTGCGCTAAGAGAAGCCCTTAAGCTCTCTAAAGATCTCTTCTTGTAGGGTCGGGATGTTTCGGGTTGTTTCGGCTTGTTTCGGGTTTAGGGCTTAGTAGGGTTTGAACCCCAAACTCGCCTTGCACATGAAGGCGACAGCCCCAGACGTCACGGCGTCATTTCCTTAACTTCGAAACCCCTAGCCCCAAACCCTAAACCCTAAACCCTAAACCCTAAACCCTAAACCCTAAACCCTAAACCCTAAACCCTAAACCCTAAACCCTAAACCCTAAACCCTGAACCCTAAACCCTAAACCTAAACCCTAAACCCTAAACCCTAAATTTAGTCTGCGGGGATGAGAGCTCAACTCTGAGCCCTCAGCCCTGAACACCCGAAACCCAACTGGACATGGACATCCCGAGTTTGATTTAGGGTTTTGGATGTCCCCCAATTTGCGAATATGAGGATGTGTTGTGTTCAGGGCTTGGGGTGTGGAAGTGTTGGGGGGTTTCGGGTGTGAGGGTTTGGGGTGCAGGGTGCACCCCCCCCACCTGGGCAGGTGTCTTTTGCACCCTAAACCCTAAACCCTAAACCTAAACCCTAACCCTAAACCCCAAACCCCAAACCCTAAACCCTAAACCCCAAACCCCAAACCCCAAACCCGAAGTTGGGAACCTCCATGAGCAGTCGAGGAGCAGCCGATACCCGAGGCGCAGCGGAGCCGCTTAAGTGTGTTTTGGG